CTTGCGACATATACGAAGTACGAGTGATAACAAAGCATGAATGTGACCCTACCAAGAAACCATCTTGGGAGTGGGTTTGTCATTCCATTTCACAGGTACGGAGTTGAGGCCCGTATAATAGTGGGTCCAATGCCGAGCCTCGGAGCCGGACCAGGGTTCCAAGATCGAATGGCTTTCCGTTCTGGGTTTTGGATAGACGCATTCTTGATTGATTGTTCTTGGCATCTTTTGTACAAAATATCTATCAAACTTGTCGTATGCCTTTGTTTTCTTGATTAAACTGATGACAGTAGTCTCTCAACTCGCTGCAAGTCTTAAACCTTACCCCATCGACAAACATCAAATCCCAAGTGATCTCCAAACAACAACCAAGACTCGCACATCATGATGCCAAGACAAGGGATTTCACACTACAATGGTCCGTGTTTCTGGGCTGACAACATGGAAATCACAACAAAACTGGGCCACTCGGCATGATTTCTCCCCGGATTCCGACTTCTCGCCCAGCATAGCCACCACCGCGCGTACGTCACCATGCCCCTGTCGCGATGCTCCCTTCCAGACCACCACCATCTCTTTTTTCGCTCTCATCGGTTACAAGTCATACTCACTGTGGGGGAGGCCAGCTCGCGGTACCATCCCGAAAATTGGGCTTACCCATCCCCACGTGCGGATCAGGGCTGAGTTCGTCGATCTCTTTATTCTCCGCCTGTGGTTTTTTAAACTTTCTGCCAAGTCGGGCGTACAGTTGATGCAAAATCAACTTCATCAGCCTCAATCACTTGATCAACTGTTTATGCCTCGTCTCGCAACGCCGTTATGGAACGGAAAAGAACCGGGTACACAGCCTCAAGTTCGTGTTCCGTATCTGAGGCAGCCCAGCGACGTGGATGATGCATTCCAATCTCCCTGCAAGACTTGAAATTCGTAACTGCACAGCGGATACGAAAAACGACCCGCTTTCTGGGGTGCTTATGGTATATTGCTTCGCGTATAGGGATGCGTACGTATGTCGAGTTGCGGCAGTGGTTGAGAGAACTCACCCGGAGTTGAGTTTTCAGAGCATCAAAAGGAGCGCGGACCCTAATAAGGTGCCGCTCTCAATCGTTTAAGCATAACTAGTAGTGAGGGCGCCTCCCAAGGTCCCACAGCAGCAGGGCGGATAGATGCAGCCATCTACACTATCGTCTCAACCCTGCCACGGATCCTGCAAAGAAGGGGGGTGATGCTACAGAAATATAGCTTGCCGTTATAGTCAGCAGCTAAGTTGTAAATTACCGTGCTTCAAGATGCATCCCTATCGGTCTGGCCCGAATCTAAGTGGAGAGTATCCTGAACAAGGGCCACCGTTGGACATCATGGAGTTGCAGCCATGATCCAGACCATTCAGGGGCCTACCAACGGCGGCAACTCCCCAAACATGAATCTCATCAAGATACGTTCAAGTTACTATTCTCATCCCGCATATACACGACGCGTAAGCATCAAACAGTTCTACCCAGCTATCGATGTACTCCAACAAACGCCCGCTCAGCTCGGTTCTATCACACGACTTCATTCCACCAGAAATCCACCTCCCATATCATCGTCGTCAGCCATATCAAACTCCTCGGTGACATCGCTCGGCGCGTCCTCAATCTCCTGGTCCAGCTGAGCTTCCCTGGCGGCCTTGTCGTCGGCGGCCCTCCTCTCGTCTGCGTCTACTCCGCTCCAAATCTGCTCCCTGATTCTAAGCCCCATCATAAACTTTCTCCACGCCCTAAACGCACGGTGTTTCCTCCTTTCGTCCTCTACTTGTTGCTCCAAATCGCCTAGCCCATCGATTATTGCTCGCACGCCTTCCTCGTACTCCTTTGCGATTACGACACCGCTTAACACGGCTGTTCCGTGTCGACCCTTAAACTGGAACCCCGTGAGAGCAGGTGCGTAATCAACCCCGGCCAGAAACGCTGCTCGTGTTGCATATTCGTGGATGATGTGAGCGCCCCCTGGAGGAACCATGCTGGGCACGTAGACATCAATATTGCCAAACTTGTTCTTGGGGACTCGGCCGTTGCGGACTGGTTCTGGCACGTAGAGTTCGGTCTGTTCCTCCGTGTAAATTGGTGTCCCAGCATCTCCCTGTGCATCATCTTCATCCTCTTCGTCCAAGGGGTTCTTCGGTCGAGCTTTCTTAGGCAGCCACTTGACCGGAATTTCCAGGGGTTTGACCTCTCGGCCAAGACGAAACCACTTATCGGCCGTCCTCGCTATCCGGACATCTTTTCGGCGGTAAACCTTTTCAAGCTTGCCTCGACTACTCGTCGCAACAGTCCCTGATGGTGTAGCATCTGGAACGAGCACCTCGTGACGACGCAGATGCCGCGTCAGGGCATAAACTGGATGGTCTTTGAAGTCCTGTACGTTTCGCGGCATCGGTTCTCTAGCCTCGATACCCGCGAGTTCGTTGTCTTCAATCTGGTCAAGGTCCGTTCTTCGCCGAGGCCGATAAAGTTTCATGACCTTCCTCCACCAAGCCTCGCCGTCCTCGGAGGCAATCTCGATTCTTGATCTTCGTGTCTTTGCCGTGTAAGCTTTCGCGTATCTCCTCGTCACGTCTTTTGCAGTTCCATCCGCATCAAAAGCGACCACATATGACAAGAAATTTTCCTTGTCAGTGATAGGAGGTTCCAGAGCTTTGGGTTTCCAAAAGGTATTCGTGACCACAGCATCTACCGGCTGCCATTTCTGGTGCCCGACATCGAGGATCTCAACCCAATACACCGGGTAGGACGATTCTTTGATCTTTTTGCGTGTCTCAAACGTCGGTTGGGGTCTTGAGGGAGCGGCTTTGGGTGTAAAATTGTACGCAGTTGCATTTGGGTGGCCGAGTCGTCGGCGCGCTGATGAGCCGCCTGAAGGTGACCCATATCCAGCGTTTGCCATATCTTGGTACTTAGCCATTGTGGCCTTGACCTGCTCATTCTTTGCAGCTTTGGCCGACGCCTTTGAAGGTTTTGGTTTTTGTAGAGTCGGGGCTCCAGAGGTACACGCCAAAGGTTGTAGGGAGCAGACCAGCCTTGCTCGCACTCCTACACTTCGAAGGAGCGCACAATAGAGCTGAGCACCGACATCCCGGGAACCTTGCAGCTTCTTTGCCGCTTCGCGAAAGTCTTGACGATCAAGACATGATTCCATATCACTCGGAGGCTCATACTGCGCCAGAATTAGCAAATGCTCCTAGATGAGACGCGGTACCTACATCTTTCAAGTGGTCTGGCTCCTCGGCCCAGAGCGCCCTTCGAAGTCCCCTCTCCGTAATCTCGAATTTCGTCTTCCAAACACCTTCAGCCTGTTTCAAGCCATTCTTTAAACTCTCAGTGCGTCCAAACTGGGGTAGGTTTGCCCCAGGATTGAGGTAGTTAACCATCTTATCCGTCAGATGTGGGCGCAAATAGTCCTGCACTTTGCCGTCGTTGCACCAATGATTGCGGCGAGCGACATGCGATAGCAAGCAGAGTAGATGAGCTTTGTGAACATCTTTCCGAAGTATGCGCTCCTCTTTAGTGATCGGTCTTCGTTTCTCAGCAGCCTTCTTCCCTTGCGCTGCAGATGATTGATGGGCTGTCAGGTTGAGTTCCAGGGTTTTGGGTTCCTGTGATGGGGCCGATTCTTGAATGGGTGCAGTGAAGTCGACATCTTCAAATATGATATCTTCATCTTCGTCATCTTCGTCGTCTGATTCAAGTTCCATCGTTTGCATGGTCGGCTCCGGCAGGATTACATCTTGAAACTCGATATCCTCATCGTCGTCTTCATCTTCCTCATCATCATCATCATTGTGAGCTGGTGCTGACTGAGGAGGAACAGGTTCAGGCGACTTTTCTGTCACCGCCGCTCTCCCTCTAGTGCCAGCTCGGCGGCGCTTCAGAGGTCGTTCTGGTGAGCTTTGATCTGGAGGATTCACACCCGCCTCAGCCAGCATATCCCGGTAAATCTCTCCCCCAGTCGGCGCGGCCGCTGCAGCTCCCCTGCGGGTACTGGACCTCGTCGCGATTCGCTTTCGACCGGTCATGACGATACCATGCCAATATCAGCCAGGATTTGAGGTCTGGAGAAGCTGGAGAAGGGTCGCGATTAACGTGTCGTTGCCTGCTGAAGGTGTTGCGTCATAGGGCCGCGCTGACAGAATTGAATCGCGAAGTCACGTGCTCTTTCGTCTTTAATGGGCTCCTAGCATTCTCATTCCCAAACCCATGCCTCCCTACCTTGACCAGGAGTTGGAGGTCTCGTTTCCTGTGACTTGTCTTTCATATCCAGGATCTCGATCATCGAATAATCAGTTGTTTCCTCTTGTGGATTTCTGGAGCCATCGACGGCATGTTATGTCACTGGAAGGTCGGAGGAGATTGGCCTGCTGCCCGACTCTCCCTTGACCACGACAACTCCCTCCATCAACTTCCAAGGCCCATTTCCAATTGCAAATTGCGTATCTATCAAGTTAAATAGAAACTAATCAATACCTCGGTTCATCTAAACAATTATTTCCTTCCCAATGACAAAGCTCCGCTACGTCACGGAGGAGGCCTTGTCAGTCTCCACGATCAGTAATCTTTTTTCCAACCGCCATGCTTTTAGGCCCGCCATAGCCTCTGGAGCCACCTTATCTTGCAGCTTTGTCAGCGTTCCGAAACAGTTAAAATCGGACTCTTCACATACACTATCCGACCCCAGTGCAGTTTTCGGACTGAATATGATGCGATTCGCAGCAGATGGCGTCTGCGGTCCAACATCACGCAACAGCTATCCACTCATGAGACTCTCCGCCAAGGTTATTCACATTCAGCCGCAGGTGGCTTCTCGAAAGCATTGAGGGTGGTATTTGTAAGTTCATGTTGGCAAGATGGGCATATATAATGTAGCTCCTCTGAGGTGAAAGATCCTCTCCAACTCAACACGCATCTGCTTCCAACTCAAGTCTCTTGATAAACAACTCACTTTATCCTCCAAAAAAACACATCATGTCCAGCAAGCCCATTGTCCTTGTAACTGGTGCCAACGGCTACATCGCCGGCCCAGTCATTGCCGCTTTCCTCGAAGCTGGCTACGCCGTTCGTGGATCTGTCCGCTCAAAGGCTTCAGCAAACACCCTCGTCAAGGCATTGTCCCAGTACGGCGATGCTCTCGAAATTGTCGAGGTCCCCAACATTATCGCCCCAGGGGCCTTTGATGAGGCTGTGAAGGGTATGCCAGAACATGTGCTCTCATCAAGTGTTATCTAACATTTGCAGGTGTCCATGCCATCGCTCATCTTGCTTCGCCCGTGAGCCTCTCCTTTACTGACCCCGATCCTGTCCTCGAGGCAGCGATCCAGGGCACCCGAGGTGTTTTGGAGTCTGCCATCACCGAGCCCTCCATCAAGTCGGTTGTCCTCATGTCTTCGGTTGCCGCCGTTGCTGCCCACGATAAGGAGCTTCCTTATCGCTTCACCGAGGCTGATTGGAACCTTGGAGCTCTGGACTTGGTGAAGGCTCTTGGCAAGAACACTCCTGGTCCGCTCATCTACGTCGCGAGCAAGGTGGCTGGCGAGAAGGCCTTCTGGGACTTCCGCGATGAGAAGAAGCCCAGCTTCTCAATGACCGCTCTAAACCCTACGTAAGTTTCGCTGGGACACTCGCATTTCCTATCCTGCAGGTTTGCTAATAATCAACGCAACAGCTTCGTTATGGGACCGACTCCAGCTCTGGATTCGCTGTCCAAGCTTGGTGGCACAACAGCCTTCATCTGGCAGGTCTTTTCCGGACAAGAAATCCCTGAGCCCCTCTCACCAGGCTCTTCCTTTGTCGATGTTCGCGACATTGCCCGTGTTGCCGTCTTCAGCGTCGATCATCCTGACAAGACCAACGGAGAGCGCTTCCTACTCACCTCGGGACAGTTCCCTCCCCAGGCTGCTGCCGACATTCTCCGAAAGGCTTTTCCTGACCGCAAGGACATCATCAAGGTCGGAACTCCAGGAGCTGGATACAACCCTGGATATGTGTACGACGAGAACAGGGTCGTTGATGGTTCAAAGGCCGTCAGGGTGACAGGAAAGGACTACTATTCCGTGGAGCAGAGCATCATCGATGCTGCCAAGTCTTATGAGAAGTTTCTGTAAGGAGAGCTCTGTTTCAGCTAGTTTTGTCAAAGAATGTTTAGATCTAATGTATGGTTAATGAATTAGTCCATCCAAGTTGACTGAAGAGAGCCACCTCTGATTTGAACCAGAAGTTGGAGGGATGGACGATATGTGAAGGAAATTCCACCATTCAAGTAGCTATTAACATCATCCATTCAAATTAAAAAGACAAAACCGTTATCACCAAATGAAGCCCACTATTGTTTGCCGTTGAGTTGATGTTTATAGCTCCAGGGTAGCCCCAGGGAAGAGGTTTTCGTGGACCAGGCACTCAGACTACCTACTTAGCATGAAATAATTCACGCAAGTGTCACCAATTAGAAGCCGTCATCGTATAGGGGTCAGTACATCAGTTTGTGGCTCATGTGAAGCACTGAAAACGCAAGTTCGAGTCTTGCTGACGGCAAACTATTTCTTTTTGCTCTTTGTTCTCCTGGGCACTCGTTGTCACACGTCCGTCTTGAGAATCTCTTTTTGCCTGGTCCCTCTTGGAGCGTTGGTGCTGGACATTGATGGTTCACACAATGAACAACCCACCTCACCATATTCCTAGCCCATTGCTTTTGCCCGTATTCTCTTACAATGGCCACACTGGCGGTTGAGATCCCCTTGACTCCAACGGTTTTACCCACGAAAGTCGTTGGAATAAGCTCATCGGGTCACGATACTAACTGCTATTTCGGGAAGTTCCCTGTTCAGGCAACTGGAAAGACTTGGATGCAGAGCTCATGGATATGTGGGGATTTATACCTGATCATGTATTTCAAGAGACGAGCCGAATTGATACCTCATTCGACTATTCTAAATGCTCTGGCGAGACTAGCACAGGTTGGGAGCCTCTCGTTCTGCACCGGCCAAACAGTGATGCTTGAGAGTTATTGTCTCCGATTGACTACTCAGTTGCAGAATAGTATCAACCCGTCATTCAAATATCCCTACAATTTGACGATCTGCAATCTTGCTCCATCCTCTCTGTGATGTTTTGTTGGTCCACCCAAGCACCAAAAAGAAAGCATCTGAAGCATCACCAAGTGCAAAACAACACCCAGCAACACCAAAAAGAAATGCTTTGCCGTCAGCAAGACTCGAACTTGCGTTTTCAGTGCTTCACATGAGCCACAAACTGATGTACTGACCCCTATACGATGACGGCTTGTAACAAGCTGGGTTGAAGCCCGGGTGCCCAAATGCCACTTATGAAGGCTTTTTTATCGAGGTCCACTCGTGGGGTGGAGCTGTGTGTCAAACTTCTTGGCTTTTCTCCTTTGACATCCATGATACGATGAGCTCCAAATATGAGAGCCTCCTATTGCTGAATTGTAATTCGTATCTGCTCTCTCTTATCTTTGAGAAGACGTTCCAGTTCTCATGATATCTTCCATTTGAGACGATGCGACGCTGGACCCATTCTCCATTTAGTCAGCGCTACGGAGCAAAGGAAGTTGAATTCCCTCTACCCATTTTATGGTTTGACTCCCCCTGCACGAGAACATCATCACTTATTTTGCTTGCGTCTTTTTTGACAAGTTGTTCTTTGAATTTTTTAAAGAAGTCTTGTGTACTTCATGACATAAGAAAATTTCCCTCATGACAGCAATGGTATCCCTTCGATTTCAGAAATTCCCTTCCCGATTGACAATGAACCCCACCAATCCCGTAAACGCCTTTGAATTCTCGATTTCTATCCGTACGACCGTTTCTGTTTACTGTTGTTTACTCTTGGGATGTTCGTTTATTTGGTGAGCCAGCCAAGGTAGTCAGCAACGATCAGTGTCACCATACTGCGAAGGAAGTCAGCATCTTGTCAATATCTTAAGTTTTCGTGGGGGACTTACGCGTGAGGTGCAATGCGGACATAGTATGTGCCGAAGCCACGGTAGAATCGGCCGAGACCCTCCTGCTTGGCGACCTTGGAGAAGCAGTCGACCATGCCGCGGTAGGGAAGCTTGCCGTCGGGACCCTTGGACTGCTTCTGCAGGCGTGTCTTGACAAAGTCGAAGGGCAGGGAGAAGAAGGAGGCGAAGAAACCAGCGATGGCACTGGCGCTGAGGGTCTGGGTCTGGGCTGACAGATCCGTGTGCTGCTTGAGCTGGGCCTTGGCCTCGCTGAAGAAAGCGAGCTGACCAAAGTTGAGGGCCATGGCTCGGACGACGGTGGGAGCGGCTCCAGCCCAGAGGGCACCGATGCCTTCGCTCTTGGCGATGCTACCCAGGGCGTCGATAACTGACTTGTAGTTCTTTCGCTCGGCGAGGGGCTTGAGGCCGTCGCTCTGCATTCGGATGAGGGCGAGATCGGCGGGGTTACCAATCATGGCGGCGATACCACCGGCAGTCAGACCAGCAGTCGCTCGCTCGGCGAAGCCAACAGCACGGCCCTCAGACTTGGCTCGGGCGGAAAGAGATCCCATGAGAGTGTCAAACATGCCCAAGCGGGCGGTGGTGTAGACAGCCTGGCGCAGGAGACCGGCCGAGAGACCAGTGTACAGGTCGAGAACCTTGCCGCTGGCAATGATCTGTCGAGTGACAGAGAGGGGAGTGGGCTTGGGACCAGCTGCTGTTCCCTCACCAGCGAGCTGGATGCGGACCTTGATCATATCGACGGGCTGGATGACACTGGTGGCCACCATGCCGCTGATACCACCGTTGACGAAGGGGAGGATGGCCTTGGCTGCGGGAGAGTGCAACAAGTCATTGGCGAAGGCAGCCGAGTCGCCCCTAGCAGCACCGAGGACATCGCTGGTCTTTGCGCGAGCTGATTCAGCTGCCTGCTTGAAGCCTGAGGAGCTCATGATGGATGGGTTGATCTGAGGATGGCTATGCGGGTTCGGGTGTGGTGTATCGTATCTCGTTCAAGTCAGACGGGATCGATTCAAGCGAGTCGACGTCTAGGAGGAGGAGTTGGTGAGCTTGGGCCGGGGAAGACTGGTCTGGTGTAAGTCCAGAACCTGGGCAAGGTCGTGGGAAGACGATGGCTTTATAATATCACGGCCCATGGTCACGAATGGCCGAGAGGGTACTGACTACAGCCGACTACGGTCTCGCACAGAGCAAGCCATAGCATGACGTCCAGGCCGAAGAGATCCGGAGGTTCATCCTCGGCCGGAGGACGCCCGGCCCTGGGGTGTGGGGGGTTCGAGGCTTGGGGTGTCCGGGGGAGGACAAGGGGGGGGAGAGGGGGGCGTGTGTGTAGGTGGGAGTATGAACGGGGGTGCAATCCCGCGATGGGTTCCGTCGCCCACCGCCTGGTGGACCAGACAGAGGGCAGAGACAGGAATATGCAGGGCAAAGGAAAGACGACGACGACGTTTTGGACAAGCAAAGCTTACCGATGACGGGGTTTCAGGCGCGCGACCCGACGAGAAACCAAGACGGGAGCTGATGTGGAGTTTCCGTGTAATACTGCCGCGACTATTGCCGCGGATATTAGACGTCGACGTCGACAACAGCAAGAGAGATGAATGCCGGGTGGGACTTACAGACGGAGATTGAAGGGCGGTACCGAGCGATCAGAGCTATGAAGCTTAAGCTATGCTGTAGCTGTAGCTGTCCAGCACGGGTATTTCGGAATGGATTCGATGAGAGGGCGCAGAAAGCCACTTGTGATGGTTGAGGGAGGGTGTTTTCGGAACTGACACGCCAAAATACAAGACGTGCTAAGCTATCAGTTGGGGAATTGAGACAGGACTCAACAGGCTCTCTCTCTCACTACGAATATCGATGATCGGCGAGTCAGAGGAGGTGAAAGAGGTAGGAATCTGGATGGTGGGAAGGGACGCAGTAATAAGAGGTCCTTTGTGAGGGGGGACACACAAGCACACAGAGAGGGTGACGTCTGAAGAAAGAGGGGAAGATGCTCGATACAAATGCATCTTCCTCTCGCCCTTCTCTCGGCGTTGTTGAACGGTGTTCGGCGACGTTTCTTGATGCACTGGGGAAGCACGAGACCTCCCGTGATGGTCCCCAAGCAGGCACAGCTTACCATCGCGGTCGACCAGAGTTGAGGAGAGCTGATATCAACCACTGGCGACCCTCCACCAAGGGCGCACGGCGAGCCACTCACCGAGGGACGTCACATACCAAGGTTCAGACCGTCGATACCTTCCCCCTCAGTGTGAATGTCTCTTGTGCTTCCAATTGAAAGCGGGTGAGACGGCCACTGGTTGAGAGCTTCTCTTCTGCCGAGTGGTTGACGTCGCCACAGCGTCGCATTCAACCAATTCTTGACTGGCTCTCCCGCTTCGCATTTCCCTTTTGCCCTGGCTTCTGCTTTTCTCAACTGCGGGGTTGAGACAGATCCCAAGGCTATTTTGGCTTTTTGCGGGAAACGGTCTCTGGGATGGACGATCAAACTGGCAACGCCTCTTTGCGCGTGATGGCCGTTTTGGAGTGCGTGGCTGTGGTAATCAGCAATTCACCCGTTGGTCCATTCATTCCCCCTCACTTGTGAAGCTCACTCACAGAGTCTTACAGCAGCAACTCTCTTCTAGCCGGGCCGGCGATCCTTTGTTGAAGATACACTCTGCGGGCGCCCAAATGGTTTTTCTTGTTGTTTTTCTTTGCCATGGTCGTCGATTAAGCAAGCCACAAGTCGTCGCATTGCATTTCCCACTCTCTCCACTCTTGCCTGCAAATTGACAGCCAGAAAAAGAGGAGCTCAATCGCCCAGCGAGTGTTGTATCAAATCAGATGTCTTGACGGCTGCTCCAGATGAGGGGGCTTTGCGTTGCCCAGAAAAGCAAGCAAAGCGTTGTTTGTGGCTGCGGCTACGCCGGGTGTGGGTGTTGATGGAGGAGCTCAGCCCAAAGGTGCCAAGCCAGAAGTTGATTAACCTTGGTTAACAGCTGTTAAACCTGTGCTGGTGGTGGTGGAATGAATGTCCGCCCGATGGATGGATGACGACACAACGGTAATAAACGGCAGCTGGTTTGCTACAGTGCCGTCGTCTCACAGATTTTCAAACCCCTTCCCTGTAAATAACGAACCCTTGAGCGGGCGTCGTTTCGGATATTGATTTTCTAGAACCAGAAACCTCGTGTCACAGATGGGAAAGTGGTGAGAGGAAAAGGCCATCATGGTTGAGGCCATGCAGGTCCGGCTGTGCAGCGCAGACCAGGGCAAACCTCCAAGAGCATCCTAGCCATATTCTCTACTCTACAGCATCAGCCTGAATATCTCATCCACGACCGCCGCTTGCGCCGGGTTGGTGCTTCTGTCAAAAAGTCCGGCCCCGGCCCGGGGCTGCCATACAGACAAGCATCTCGGGCTTTCTCTCGTGCATCCTACAGCTGTAGTCGTTTCTTTTTGATGCCGTGCCCAAACCATGGGGGGGAGCGGGGGTGAGGACGCCACAGAGTGCAACTCAGTAGGCAGCGGCATTGGCCTGTCGCTGTTTGTATGAGAAGCTTGAATTGCTAATGCCTGTCGCGTCGTTAGCTGGCCAGCAGGCATCTCAGAAGGGTAAAGCTCCAAATGCGAGAGGAAGCCATCCATCGACAACACAATCCTCCGTCCAACATACGCGGCTCATTGTGGATGCGGCCCGTCGATGGAAAAGACTCCACTAGCTATTTCCTCTATCACTCTTCTCGGCTCGCCAATAGTTATCTCCATTCAAGCACCGCTCGGCTCGGATGCAGAAGCTGGACCAGCTCGGCTCTGATAGACATCAAACCATGGGACATTTTACAAAGAAACCGCGCATTCTGATTCCATCATTAGACAAAACTTGCAAGCATGAGTTACACTGCCGTCACTCATTCGTTACGCCCCCCCTGGTCATCGCCAGGGACCAAGCATGGATGTCAGTTACCCGTTTGAACTGCAGGCCGAGGAACTAGGACATTGAAATCCTAGAACGAATGCACGGATACGTTGGAAACCTTCTTTTTTTATTTCTCGTCTGTAACTTATTACTGGAGAGTGACAGCCGTGGCAAAGCCGAACGCTTAAAGCCGCCCGTGTCCCATCCATCTCGAGCCAAATATCCTCGGCTATGAGACCTGGCAAGACGCCTATGGAATGGGCTCACCGGACATTGATAACACGTCATTCTTGATCTCTGTGACAGGAAAGATGATAAATTCCCGAGGAACGAGGTTGATGAGTGAGATTTGCTCGGGCCTCAATGAGGACAATGCCATCCAGAACGAACGACTTTGTGAATCTTGGGGATCGTCGTATTCGCTAGATAATCTTGAAGAAGCGACCCCCAAGACTCTCACTCACATGTTTAGATCTAGACCTCGAGATGAAACGCACGTTGGCTGTAATTACTGGTGAAATCGCCATAGCCGATGACGTCGCCCAACATGTAGACGCCAAACCGCTCAACTTGCTGCGCACATGTCGACGTGCGTTGGAACACAAGCGTTTGACGTCGGCTTTGCTTTTTCTTCTCACACATCTAGGGATCACCGTCTAGCCGCAGATACACAACCGGCATCCCCAACAGTGGGCGGCTACGGTGGAGAGACAAAGCCGGGCCCCTAGAAGCACAAGAGAGCCTCAAGCTGAGATAGCGTGCGTCCTAGGAGAGCTTGGGCCCATTCTTGTGGGGTTCTTAGGGGGGTGAAAGTCATCATGATCCATATTAGGTGCTACGTGTGGTCATCTCTGCAAGTCCGGCACCGAGGAACATGTCTCCGAGGAACAAGCTTCGGAGTCGACATGACCGAGCCCGAAACGAGTGTCCAAGACATCCATGAGCATCCATGATAAGCCTTTCAACGAAACAGAAGAAAACAACAAATAGACAAGCATGTGAAGGTTGGGGCTTCAACAATATGGCAACATGTCTTCGGCCCTCGACTCCGAACTTCCTGGAGTTGAGACATAAAAAAATCCCTGGAGAAATCTCCAAGACCCCAACCCCCAATGAAGCTCAGCCCTAGTCCAGAACCCCAATATCTCGAGATTTTTTTTCTTCTCCAGCGCTTATCTTGTAGTCCCCTTGTCGCGGGGTCTGAAATCTCTCATGACATCTCCGGCGCATTCGGACCTACCTCCCCTGACACGTTGGGGGACGCCATCTTGCATAGGATACGGGGTCGTGTGGGTAGCGAGGGACGCTGTTTTTACGGGCGTCATCATCATGACTGACACAGCAGCAGTAGCACTCTTGTTTTTTTGGGGGTTCCAGCCTCTCATGATGAGAAATCTGCCGCTTACCCCCTTACCTATGCAAGCCCTCATGTTCCTCCTAGACCGCCGCAGCAGCCCCCTCCCGGTCGTTGCGTGTTGGATCATGCTGGGCGGGCGTCTTGTTGATTTCCCCGGTGCCGTTGAGAGATGGACGACGTTGGCCCCCATTCCATCTGCCATACAAGGGGACCCAATGTCATCAGGCACATCCCACTGCTTCTCCCATGCCGCCGGTAAGAGACGGGTATTGACGCCTCACCAAACTCCCATGTGGAGATGCCTTCTTTGGGTAGCTATATCAATAAGTGAGCCTTCAAGCAAGGTTTCGCTGCCATGCTCCATGGTCTTGCGCCCGTCTCTCCCCCCCAATATCAGAATCGACCCGAGAAATCACCCGACTCTGACCGTTCAACAACGCGACATCGCCAGATGTCGTACCTCGGACGTCCCGTCCGACGGAAACCACGTTTCCGAAGTCCGTCAGCTATAGGGGTAGGTCAAGCCGGTAATACAAAAACGCTTCACTTTTTGTCCTCAAACTGGTTGGGTTGGTCGGCTTTCAAAGTGCGAAGAGAACGTAGGCCTGGACCAGCCCTACAGGATCTTCCGTCTAACAGCCTTGGCTACTAGCCCATCAGGCGACGCTGAATCAGCGCGAGGTCATGATTCGCCCATTTCCCCTCCCTCACCGTCCCATCATCAAATCATTTGTGACATCTTCAACCCCAGGACTCCAGACCCCGTGGCTGAGTTTGGGCCTCTACCCGGCTCCAACTTTGGGATCTCAACCACCCCCTCGAGTGGAACCCCCTTCCGGACTTCAACTTGCGGGAATTTCTTGGCTTTGTCTTCCCTTGTCTGTAATCCATGTCAACTCTCCACTCGGGCCGCTCCACTTCTCACGTCCTGGCTGTGGCTCTTTGCGTGAATCGTCAACGCTCTCCCTCTCCATTTGACGTCGCTGCTTGTGAGTGGAACTCCGTAACTAACGCTGCATCTCTTACAGATGGGGGGACCCGCCGGCAAGGTGCCGAGCCGGGCGTCTCGAGCAAGAGAGAGGAAAAGAGGCCGCTCGGGACGCGAGATATAGCAACGTGCTAGCCATGTCTCGCCCGCGCGGTGCCCAACCCGCCTCGTTGGAACCGCCACGGCCAGGGATTTCACTCAATGAAAGAACAAGAAAAAACCCCGTCAAGGATGTCCACCACTCGATGCACCCCCATGCCCATCTCGGCGATCTATTCGTCCCAGCAGGTGCCGAAAAAGATGAAAGGCCAGGTCGGGAACCTTCTTGGCAGGGAGGACAGGCAGAGAGAGAGGCGAAGCAGCAACTACTTCATCTATATCCGAGGTTATACTCGAGACGTGCTCGACCTTGTCGGATACACCGCCGGGTCAAGGTGTCCAGTTTTCCAAGCTGTCGAAACACCATAACCGAGCACTGCCGTGGGAATTTCACTCAATGTCGACAACTCGAATGACGTACTAGAAACTTGGAGCAGTGGCAATCTGACGCAGAGAATCCTTCTGCATCGTCTCTCGTCTCCCTCGAGAATAGCTGGACGGCCTACGAGGCCTCCGGGTATGTTCCGCCTTGACAAGGGATGAGGGGCATTGAAACACGGCTTCATGGACAACCATCGTAGCTGACGGTCAGTAACCGGCGGATGCGTTGCCGGTCTTGATCTCGGTTGATGCCCGAGGGCTTGACGCAGAATAATCCCAGGGAGCATGTTCCGGTTGATCAGCTTTGAGGGCGTCTCAATTAGACCCGGAGAGGATGAAGCCTGTGATCTCACATGTCGAAGCAGCAGTACTTTCAGCCAGCCCAGGAGGGGACCAGCGAGCACATTTGTAGCAATGTCGTTTTGTTGAGGACCTGTCTGTAAATTGTGTTTGTGATAGTACTAACAACCAACTTACAACTAACATGAGCTCAGCATCAGCTTCTAATAGTAGGTTCAACAATGTCTATATAGAAACTATGCCAAGGATCTTAAACTAGCTCAATTGACCAAACTTGACAGACAGCCACAGGATCTTGCAGCTGTAAAAAGTCACGATACCTCCAGTTCACGATCCTTCAGCCAGTAGAAGTCGTTTGAAACTGACCACTGCCCGCCACACACCCCAATTCAAACCGTAGAGGTCTCTACAGATAAGACAAGAGCCAATCATTATACACAAAACGTTGAATACATAGAAAACAACTATTAAACCATGTGATGAAGTCGTTCGGGACGATGCGGTGCCGCATCTGCCCCCGCATCGCCGAATCCCCCACCATCTCCATGTGGGTTGAGGCAAGGATGAGGCCGCTCCCCGGCCCGCATTATTAGCCTCGCACTGTGCCTTCACCCGAATAATGCAGAGTCAGCACAGTAATCAGCTGTTTCTCGCACCACTAGATGTTTCTTTGCGGCTCCGATATGTCAACTTTTTGCGACAGCTGCGGAAGCGAAGTCAAACATAAAAAGCCCAATCGCACAACACACAACATGCCCAAGCGAAAGCGCGGCGAGCCCAGCTTGGAAGACAAGCTTGAGAAGCAATGCAATGAGGTCTTTCGGGCTCTCAAGTCCGCCAAGGGCTTTGAGCGTCAGAGACTCAGCAAGAGGCTTCGTGAGGATGGCATCGGGCCTGACAAGAAGGAGAGATTGGAGCGTGAGGTGACTGTGCTAAAGGTCATTACCTCTGGGGTATGCTTTTTTGCTGTTGGCTGACCTCTTGATAGTCTCTTGACCTACACCAGACCGCTCGCGCACACATGTACTCGTCCCTCCTCAAGGTCAAGACCCTCGCCGCGTCCCCCGACCTGCCCGAAGAGATCCGCGCCGGTGTCCCTAAGCCCGAGCTATCCCCCGACGAGCAGGCCGCCCTGCATAATGTTACCAGCGGACTGTATAACCGAGAGCCCGTGAAGCAAGCCGTCGACCGCGCCGTCACTGCCGTGTGCCAAGCACTCAACGTCCCCCTTCCCGAGAAAGCGAAGCGATCACGCAAGTCCAAGAGGGAGGAGAAGGAGGACCAGCCATCCGACCGGATAGAAAAGGCTACCAAGACGGAGGAGGAAGCTCCCGAGGACGATGTGCTGGTATCAGTAGAGGAAGAAGAGGATGCCTACGACGAAGAGTCAGAGTTTGAAGGATTCTCGGACGTCGACGCAGCTGCTCAGGACATTGAAGAGATGGACAGCGGGGATGAAGCCGACGAGGAGAAAGAGCTATCCAAGTACGACGACTTGCTAGGCGGTTCCTCGGACGAAGACGAAGACTTTGACGACGAACGATTCGCACAGTTCAGGGGCAAGGAAAAGGTGAACCTCGACGACATCTCCGTCTCCGGCTCAGACGCAGAGCCAGGGCTCGATTCAGATTCCGATTCCGAACCAGAGGCTCGTAAACAAGTCTCAGTTTCCCTATCGCCCTCGCCACCTCCGGCAAAGAAGAAGAAGAAGGACAAGACGGCTCCCGCCCGCCCTCGCGATTCCACCTTTCTCCCCTCCCTCATGGGCGGCTACATCTCTGGCTCCGAATCCGCCTCGGATGTGGATGTCGCACCCTCCAAGAAGCGTCTCGGCCAGCGCCAACGCCAGGCCATCTGGGAGAAGAAGTTTGGCACCAGGGCGAAGCACCTCCAGCGACCAGCCAAGCAGCGCGGAGGTCGTGACTCAGGCTGGGATATGAAGCGCGGTGCCGTGGAGGGAGGAGACGACCAACAGCGCACGCCCTGGAAGAAGGGCATCCGCAATCCGCTCACCAGACAGGCCGCCGATTCCAAGCCTGAGGTCCAGAGACCGCCGACTAAGAAGGACGACGAGGGTCCGCTGCATCCCAGCTGGGCCGCGAGGAAGCAGGCAAAGGCGTCTGAGAAGACGGCGGCGTTTGCGGGATCAAAGATTACGTTTGACTGAGCGTACTGTTTACATAGAGATACCAAGGGTAGATAAAAGTATTCTTGTTTTGCACTTCCTACGATCATCTTTCCACAGTTGATGTTGACTTATACTGCACATGTACTGGCAAACCCCCTTCCATCGGTAGCGTCAAGCTGCTCTTGCTCACCCTCTCCCCTTCAAACGCAGGCACAAAGTCAAACATGGGCACCAACCTCGCCAGCGTCTGCACTGCAACGAGCTCCGCCATCTTCTTCCCCAGACATACGCGCGGTCCACCGTTAAAGACGGGAAATTCGGCCGCTGGGCGTTGTGTGACAGTCATGTCCCCAGACGGCGAGGTCGTCAGCCATCGCTCTGGACGAAAGTCATCTGCATCTGGACCCCATGTCGTCTGTGAGCGGCCCATGGCCCACGCACACCAGACGACGATGGCACCGGCGGGGAGTGAGGTGCCGTCTGGAAGTGTCGTGGCTTGTTGGGCTTGCTTGATCTCGAAGGGGATGGGAGGACGGAGGCGGAGGGATTCGTAAAAGACGGCGAGGACGTAGGGCAACCGTGTAGGTGTAAGGAGCTCAGGGTCCAGAGGCTTCTCAGATACAACCCCAACCTCGTCATGTAGGCTCTGGACGGATTGTCGAAGTGTAGTCGTTACATGTGGATGTCTCGTGAGGAGATACAGCGTCCACGTCAAGGCTTGGGCAACAGTATCTCGACCAGCGGAGAGATAGTTCAACGCCGCATCAGCAACAAGGCCTTCGTCGCCAATTGAGTCAAGCAGCGACTGTATCAAACTGCCCGGTGAATCAGACTGGGCCTTTTCATCACCAGCTCTCGCACGGTCAGCTACAGCGCTCGTCACGATGCGTTTTCCATAAGCCTTGACAATTGCGATAGCCTCACGCATCCGACCTCCTGTAACGAGCTCTGTGAGGAACCACAGCGGGTTCTGGAAGCGCTCTGCGGTAGCCCCAGAAGCGTCTTCGAAGGCGACGGTAAAGTCATCGTCGGCGTGCATCTCCATGTTGTACGCCATTCGTCCCATCAGTTGTGTCGTAATCTCATGCACCACAGCCTGCAAATCCACAGCCTCCTTCGTCTCGGCTTTTTCTTTCAGAGCCCTCACAGCTTGTTCCAGATACTCGGGTAAGCGCACACTCGTGAGAGCCCGCAGTGCTGGAGCAGCAAGGAATCTTAAGCCAGCCTTTCGCTGAAGTCGCCACAACTCGCCGTCAACATTGATAATACCATGACCGAAAAGATCCCAGGATCGCTGCTTGAAAAAGTCCCCCTTCTCAAAGATGCCCTCATTCTTGAATATGAAATCCAGATTGCGTGGGTCGTTGATGATTACGCCCGGCGGGAGGGACGGGACCGAGATGTGGAGGGTTTCATAGCCAAAGAGTCGCTCGCACTGGGCAAACCATGAAAAGAGACGCTGACGAGGTTGCAGGAAGAGAATGCCGTTCCCTACAATGGGGAGTGTGTTGGGAGGTTTCCTAGCAAGATGGTGAGTCTGACGCTTATCGAGGCGAGGGGAAATAATGGATGAAACGTGGTGTTGACGTAGGTCATGTTACAAACCTGAGAGACTCTCCATTGCGAGTGATCTTGGGCGTTCTCTTCTCCCTAGCAACCAATATTATAGCAATCACGGCTATGAGAAGAAGTATTCTCTCCATTGTGATATTGAAGAGCGTCATGCTTGTTGGTGTTGATGGTTTTTAAAGTAGAAATGTCTAAGCCTCGCAGACGCGAGTGCGACGTTGGGTGTCTCGATCGGACATGATGTTACCCCGAGTCGACTACGACGGAGGAACTTGACAATGTCGAGATTACGTCCCGTAACCACTAGCATTATTTCATCAAGAATTATTTTGTATACCTTGAATTGAGCAGCAATTGAGAATAATGTGCTCCGCATGTTACTACTGTCCAAGCACGATGGAATCTATGGATAACATTTGAGCAAACAATCTAGATGTGTTTCACCAACATACAAGGTAGTACTGATTCACTTTTAAATACCACTATGAGTTTGGGAATCTAGGCTGGCAATTTCCAGCGCGTATTCAAATGCTCCAAGTCCTCTCAACCTGCGAGCCATTCCATGCCGAACAATACAGAGGATATCATTTATGCTCCCAAACCTCACCCAAGCCCCCCGAGAACAGGTATCACTAGTACATTTCTCTAAAATGGGGGAAAACAGTTGCATCACCTACGTACATGCCTCCCGGCGTCTCAGGGGCCGACATGTCAGTATTTGATCCCGGTCCTTGCTGCTGCTGCTGCTGCTGCTGCTGCTGCTGCTGTTCCTCGTTCTCGTTGTACTGGAACCCGTTCAAACCAATGTATCCCTCAAACATCCTCGACATCTCGGCCCCGATTCTGCTCCCGTTCTGGGCCATCGAGTCTGGTGTTGCTGCCTGTGATTGTTGGCCTGGGATCGATGGCTTGCGGAACGGCTGTTGCTGCTGTTGCTGGCCACGCGCAAGCCCTATCATCCCCAATGCTGCGGTGGACTGAGGGTCGTCCTCCGAATCCAACCCAAACCGCGGTGCAACGTCCTTGAGTGAACGAATTGTTCGCCAGAGCCGCTGTGATGCCCAGCTCTTGGCGGAAAGGTCCTTGACCAACTCGAGCGCCATGTAAAACTCCTCTCTGCAGGTGGCGCTGAACCTGACTGGGGCATGAACCGAGGCGAGGAAAACGACAGCAATCGCCGAGGTCAGGAATTGGTGGTAGAAGACCTGAACTCGGCGGTAAAGATTTGTCGTGTTATTTAGGTGGTTGAGATATCGAATCGTATCCTTGGCGATGTCCACCACGCGCTCTGATTGCGACGGATGTGCCATGATGCTTGTTGCGCTATGTAGTACTGGCGTATATAGCCAAATCCGCATCTAGAATTGTCAGCGACGTCGAGGTTAACTCCTCTTTTCCAACTCACCTGGTTGAGCCGTAGATATGTCCAGATCCTCAGGCGCTGGAGGTTATATGATGGTGTCGACGTTATTTGCTTCTCCTTGTCCCAGTTGCGAACCTTGACCTCCTCGGGAATCTGTTCGTACCACTGCAGAAGCTCTTGGTCCACGCTTTCCAGTTCCTCTGATCGCAAGTCGCGTGCCAGAACTGGTCCGAAATGTGAAACCTGCCGCCAAACCTTTGCCCCTATCCGAGAGTACGTGATCATGGCGACAAGATATGGATACTCATCCTACAGTGACGTTAGTTAGACTCCTGGGAATAGAATTGAGCTACTGACCGGGAAGGGCAGTTGTGAATCAATCTCCTCGTCCTGAACCACATAAGGAAGCCCGGTTCCGAAAGCCCATCGTCGATCCAAGACATATGCTGACCAGAAGCTCGTCAGTGCATTCTTGCGCTCCTCTTCGTCCTGGATCTTCAACAGACCCGTCCTCTGGTGGATACCGAGCTCTAGGCATAATCGTGCGACCTGACCCATCACACGCCATGCTAAGACTTCATCGTTGGATAAAAATCGGTAGCCAGCAACGAGAGCCAGCAGCGGTAGTGTGGCAACATCTGCAGCCTCAGCCATAAGCTTGCGGTTCAGCACCGACTCCATGCTGTCGTACAACCGAATCGCTTTATCACTATGTCCATGCTCCTCCACGACTAGGGCACAACACATGATAATCTTCAATTGAAGCGTCTTCTCGTCGTTGATCAGTTCTCTAGGGTTCTGATGTCGCATTGTTTCCAGGAAAGGCGCAAGAGTCTTGGCATGTGATATAACGTGCTGCACGTTCAGGACCGGATACATGATGCCGATTTCTTCCTCGTGCAGTCGGCATAGCCGGACCATCTCGTCCTTGTCGAAGTCATGAAGTGGATCCAATGGCCGAGACAGCGGCATGCCCATGCCATCATTGTGATGGGCATTCTCGTCCCCGTCTGAAATGCCTCTGTAGCCCATGTTGTTGATGGTGTTGTTGGCAACGTCCAGACTGAAAGCCATACTGGTTGGACCACGAAATGAACCGTACTTGGAATTGAGTCCGTCATGCCGATTGAGTGAACTCGAACTTTGTGAGGGCGATGGGGCGACAGTCGAGGTGCCCAGGGCCATGGGACGATCGCTGAGAGAGGCAAGGCGTGTCGATTCGGATTGAAGAACTTTGACGGTTTGATGTAGCCAAACAACCTCGTCTTGGAGTCGACCGATCTGAGCGGTGACTTGCTTGAAATCATCCGAGTCCTTGAAGTTGTTGGAGCAGCAGTTCGGGGCATATAGGCATGCAAGGTTCAGATTGCCGCATCGCTGGCATGGCGTTTCTCCATTACATTTTATTTTTCGGCGTTTGCACTCATTGCTATACGTGAATGGTCAGCCACAGGTTTGCTTCTGCTTGCTGGCACAAGCCCAGTGTCAAAGCGAACAGCGCCTCAACGAAGAGAGGGAGAGATGAGACGAGAATGTACTGACCAAGCTATTGATATATACTGGATCGACGAGAGGGGAAGAAGGTTAGCAAAGTGTTTCGGCTATCAAGAGATATCGATGTAAGCTAGGCGATAAACGACTTGAGATGGCGTGACATTTTATGGATGAAGATGATGGGGCGTGGTATCAAGTCAGACGAGGCTGTGACAACACCATTCAGTCGACATGAGTGTAGGTAGTACAACGGGTCGACGGTGTGGCCACTCAAGACTGTGCGTATGTCTCTCACATGCTTTCTACCCCATCTCATCTCACTCCATCCATATCTTGTCATCGCATCTCATCACTCTGGCTTCATGCCGACCTGGAATGGACACAAAGAAATAGAGACAACTCACCCGATTCCTCTTGCTTCTTGTCTGCTTGCCCCCCGCAGTTGACCCATCATCAAGCGACTTCCGCTTGTTTGCGTTGGACGCACTCACGCTTGGAGCGGAATTTTCCCCGACAGAGGCGGAACCTGGGCTCGCCTGTGTCTGTGGTTGCGGCGTCGTGTCGTAGCCAGCAGCCGCCGCCGCGGAAGCACCCACGCCGACGCCGGGGGTGCCGCCGGGAGTTCCGCCTGGCCCAACTCCGGGGCCGGGGCCGGAGGACGGGGTCGGGGTCGCATTCAGGACGGGGACTTGGGCGAGGAACCTCAGGTCGCTCGCCTGAGTCTCAATCTGCTCCATCGCGCCGAAAGGGCCACCGGCCGAGGCGTGGACGTGAGCGCGGACGTGAGCGTGATGCGGATGTGAGGGAAGCGCGTGCGGATGCGGATGCGGATGATGAGCGTGGATGTGAGAGTGACCGGGGACGGGCACGGCTAATGGAATAGGAGTGGACGGTCCTGGGCCTGGCACGAATTGCCCGCCATCATAAGGCATTATTGCCGGGTCCGCAGCCCGCTGGGAATTGCGCCAGGTGTTACCCTCGCCGCTGCGGATGCCGGGATTGGCCTGGCCTGTCGCCACGTGACCGGGGTATCTCGCAGTACCTGCCTCAAGAGTCAGTATCTGGGCCTGGAAAGCGCCGGCTGTTGCTGGAGTTGGGATCCCAATCGCACCTGCAGCGCCTGCCGTTCCTAGCTCCTGCCCATGTTCCTCCCCCTCCTCACCCACTCCTCCCACCCCGAACACGGGATAATAGTCCTCCAGGGTTGCCGACCTTTATTCTCCGACCTATTTTGCCTCTTCTCCGTCTTTCCCTTCACCACTCCAAGCCTCAGCCTGGTTCTCCACACTCTTTCTGAGCGAGCGATCCTCAAATCGACAATGCCAAGGGATTGGTAGTCTAGCTAGTAAGAGGAACTCCAGCCGCAGCGAACCAGATTCGCTCGTGTGGAGATGTATCGAGGCGTGGTACGTGCGACCCAAAACTCTGGAGCGGATCTGACAGGGAGTCCGCGGACGCCCGAACCCACCAGCTTGGTTCCGCTCCAGCTGTCTTCTGAGCCGAGCTCAGGCTGTTTCAGCGGCCAGACGCGGACAATGGCGGGCAGTGAAGGAGTCGACTCGGAGTTTTGCAATGATGGGTATGTATCGACGGGATGATCTCGATCTTGTGCGACGTTGCTGTTGCTTGGCTGTTTGTTTGTTGTTCCGATGTTGACAAATGATAGGTGGTGTTTGATGGGTGACGACGGTTGGCTGCTGGTGGCTTGCTCAAAGCCCTGCGCTTTTGCGCCTCTTCCGCTCCTCTCCTGCTTTTCGTGGACCTTGTCTCGAGTATCCTGTCCTCCTGTCGCAGCGTTGGCACCAAATCTCGGCAGACAAGATCCCAATCTGTCGGTACTGCGATGTATGTCAAGAGTGTCGATTCCTGCGGATGATCAATGCCCGCGTAAACGTAACCGCAAGTTACCCGCCAGGTCGATCAACCCGTTTCCCGTCCAGTCCGAACTCTGTCGCATCTGCGCATGTCACGGCAGCTCTCTTTCAGACCGCGGAATGTGAGCGGCATATCCTGGGGAATGGTGTGGTATGGGGGTGTTGGGGACGCGGTCACGGATGGGGATGTTGTCCAACTTAAACAACAAAAGGGAGCTAGAGATCATGAAACTCATTCTCTCTGCTTCAGCAGCAGCCACCTATCCCACGTCCGCGCTCGCGCCCTTGCTCTCTGCCTTGCCTACTCCGTACTGACTATACATACCTTAGTACTTCGTACCTCGTTCTCGCGACTCACGCCCAGTGTCGGAAACATTCATCTCTTACAGCGAATTTCACGCCCTCCCTGGGCGCCGTCCAAAGCCAGCCCCTCTCCTCGTGGCCTCCCACCCCGGTTGCCCGATCAGGAGGGCAATTCTCACTCTTCAGGCCACCATGATGTCAACTGGGCCTCTCCGGGCGGTCCGGCATCGCACCCTACACGCCGAGCCTGCCTATCGTGGGACATCCTGGGCGCCGCACGCAACGCACAATGCTCAGAATGGGGCATATTTTGCTTCTTTGATTACCGTTGCGCATCTGTCACTTTGCGGAGGACCAGGGAGGTCTCACATATGTTGCGAGACAACAACAGCAAGGGGCATCGTATCGTCTGTCAAGCTTTGGGGTTCCAAACTTGATGCTCTCCCGGAAGCAATGACCAACACAACCACCATGCGGGCCGTGCATCGCGGGTGCCCATTGACTCAAACTTTGAAACCTCCGAAGCCGCCTCCCCATCTCGCATACGACTCTAGATCTGCTGTTTTCGAGCCAAGTTCCATCGTCTGCCGCGCTTCCATTAACTGTCCGTGGGATATCAACCCGACGCCGCGGCATCTTCCCTCTGGTGGGAGTGGGCCCGCTGCCAAACCGCAAACCACAGGGCGCTTTTTTAGACGAATTTCTCTTTCGGGACAGCCTCTCGCTTCTTCTCGACACTTGATTGGCTCTCTTCGCTCTTATGAGGTGGTGGCTTCCAAGATCCCCTGAGTTTGAAGTGCAAGACTTCCTGGTTCCTTGTTGAGTCCAAGCTTTGAATCCCGGCTCTTCCTTCAACTTTCATTTTCACGAAGCTTCTTGAAGCTCTAGCCAAGCTCTAGAGGCGCGGAGTCGTGGGGACTCAGACCTTGCTTATTATCAGCCCCCATGCTGGTGCCACGAGGTGAATGGCCATCCCATCCACATGGTAACTTTATATGCAGGACCCAAAAGCAAAAAAAGCCCAACGCAAAAGGGCCAATCTCCAGCTATCCACTCGTCGTGATCTTGAGCAGCCAGTAACATTGGTGGGCTCGACAACTCCGTCTCCCTCTTCTTGGCCTTTGGGACCTCGTCGGGGACTAATCTTGTTCAAGATCTCGTATCGGACCCTCGTTTTAGGTGGCCGTGTGGTTTTGTCTTGTCCATCTTTGAGGCCTGTCCTATGCCGCTGTTGCTTGATGGTGGTTACAATGTCAAAAGATTCAGTCAAGATACGATGGATGACTCCCTTGAAGGGTGCATTTCTCTCCACTTATTCATGTAATCCGCGTACAATGCTTTCGCGAGATCTCCACTAACCTCGGTTTATAGATGATGAAGATGCAGATCTCCCGCCAACACGACATTCTCATATTCGTGTCTCTGATGAGATGACGTCTACACGATCTTTCTTCCGTCAGAATGGTGTGGTTTCAGAGCCCTAACGTCTCAGCCCAACGATCATCGTCTTGTTTTACCCTTTTGCTGTTCAGCTCGACCCGCGAGAGTCAAACCCCTGGCATGGTCCCCTGTCACCTTACTCGCAAGGCTGATCTAGGGTGCTCTTGGCAATTTCGCCCCGTTTCTTGTCACCCACGCCTTTTCCCACTTGACGTCTCCTGGTCTTCCCTTTGTTGCTTTTTTGCCTCGACTGGCACCTGGTTATCACCGCTAAACAGCGGCCGGCGCACTCTCTAGTGGCCGGCGTTAAGAAACGGGCGGCACGAAAAAAAAGCCAGAAGCCACGCGATGATGCTGAGGGGCAGCCTAGTCAAGCGGGACGGGATATTGACACGTCCGACAGTTCGCCCGATTGACGAAGGTCGACTATTTTTCGAGCCAGAAACACGATACTCCTCACGTTGGACACTAACTAGGCTCCATACCTCTCCAATGTACTGGATAACACGGCAGTTGCCGGCTGGTTGGCGCGGCCTAGATTATTATTATGCCTTGTGCCAAGTACCTAATGCCGTACATAGACGAGCGAGCCAGTGAGCCGGCAGGCAAGACTTTGGTCCCCCGCAGCATATCATCATATCATTTCTTCGGATTCGGTTCTCGACCAAGCTAAAAAGCTTAGCCGCGACTCATCTCCCATCAGCAGAAAGGACGCGCATGTCTGGAGACAGATCAGATCTTGACCGCCAAGTCGCTACTTACGATCGAATGTAAGGGGGCTGAAGGATTCCTTTCACCGCCAGGCACTCGTTGCTTTGATGATGAGTCTTGATACAAGAGGCATGGTCATGTCTCTCGGTTCGACAAGCGAGCTGTTGTATTTGCCACATCACATCCGGCAAGTACGATAGCAACAGTGTTCAATATGGGTGTCGAAAAGCGCCAACAACCGGCGTCGACCTAAGCCTCGCCGTGGCTATATCCTTTCCTTGTTATATCTCTAGGAACAGCATTACTCAGCGGCCTCAACTTGCTCGCTCATCCTTCAATGCAACCCAATCACTCTCTAATCCAGGTCTAGATGCTCCAATGCTTTCGCTACAAACGCCGCGTCCTGATCCCGGGGCTCGATCACCGCATCCTTCCCGTCCGAAGACCCGCTCATCTCGGGGCCCCACTCACCGTCTCCGACCTCACTTGGTTCACTCTCCGTCTCGGGGGGTGTTTGTGGTGGAGTTTGTATGCCGACGATACTTGAGCCAAGCCCGAGATTGCGCTTCAGCATACACATCTCTACGGATATACCAGGTCCAAAAGCACATCCCACAACGTACTCGCGCAGACGGCCACCAGGACTCATGGCATCCATGTCTTTGGAACGCAGCCGATCCATGACGCTGAAGATGGTGGCAGAGCTGGAGTTTCCATGGTTGATGTAGGTGTCGTAGCTTGCTCTCATATGTTCCGGGGTAATATTCATGGCTTGCTCGGCACCGGTGAGGATGGTAGCACCACCGGGGTGCATGGCCCAGTCAAAGTCGGCGGCGGTCTGATATTCTGGAGGCAAGCGCGGCAACGAGGCCTTGAGGTCGTTGAATGCTGGCGCAATTGCGGCCCTCGTGAGCTTTGGGACTCGTGGAGTCAGTATGACTTTCCAGCCTGTCTCGGAGTCAGTATGGTGATGCAATATCTTGGCGGTACTTGTCAATAACGTACCAACAGGGTCGACGTCGAACCCTAGATCATGCTCGGTATCAGGTATTACCCTATGGTCCCAGCCCAGCAGGTCATAGACAGACTCGGCCGGCTCACCAATGCCATTGCTCAAAACAACAGCGCTGGCACAGTCAGAAAAGAGACACGCGCCTATCCTCGTCTCCTGCAGCTCATTGATGCTATCCAACTCACTCCGCACCAGGGTAGTGCTGACCTCTAGTGCGACACATAATACGCGAGCAGGAAGACCTCGAGCCCTATGTCCAAGGGCCAGGTTCGCGCCTGTACGCAGGGTGGCCAATCCACCACTGCAGCCGACGCCATGTAACAGAACCTTCTCGACTCCATGGGTAATGCCCAGCCCCTTTGCAACGAAATGGTCAAAGCCCGGGTTGGCGCTGTCTGTGCAGGTCGTGGCGACGATGTGGGTTATGAAGCGGGTATCGATCTTGGCCTCGGCGATGGCCTTGCGAGCGGCGCGTATGGCCAGGGGGATACCGTCAGAGTTGAAGAGCTGGTGAAGTTCTGCTATCGACGGCGCATTTTCCTTGTTGACTGCTGGGTGATCTGGGAGTCCGATGGATGATCGTGTTTCGATGCCGGTGTATTTGTTGATCCCAAGGACTTTTCTCATGCTAAGATTACAAGCGTGGTCAGCGGGGATGGCGCATATTGATGTGCCAAGCACTTACGATGGTGTATCTGGGTAAAACCTCTCGCTGAGAATGTCGATGCAAGTATGCTCCAGCGCATAAGGGGGGTACTCAGTGCCGATGCCAATGATGGAGAGGCCCAGCTCCCCAAATGTGCTGGGTGCTGCCATGGCTGAAGCTGTCGGGCTTTATTTCCCCAACAGATTGTTTGGTTGAGAGCGTGAAAGATTGGAGGAGAGCCTGAGCGGCAAGAAAGCCACTCTACGGGACCGAATTGACAAGGCCAGACTCGAGAGGGGTCAATTGAGTCCTCTGAGAATATCGTTGACGCCTTGAATCGTCGCTATCCTATCTTTGTCGTGTTTGTGCGTGGGGGAGGAATCTAGACAATATCGATGACGCTATCTCCACGCCAGGCTGCTTATACGAACAGGGGTTGAAGTGAGGGGAAGAAGAGTCAACGGCGATCGTGGCGAGACGGGAGGAAGGAGAAACAATGAGATGGGAGAAGAAGAGAAGGTTTTGAACGGTTTGATGAGTGCAGAAACGAAGCTGGTTGCAGAGCAATGCGGGAATGTCTCGGATATCCTCGATTAGGTAGGGTGAGGGGAACTTGTAGACAAGACAATGTTATTGCTACACCAAGCGGTGAGGAACACAAAAAAACATTCAGGGCATGCAATTCCCTTTATAAATATTCGTCTCCGTTCTCAAACCCTTATCTCGGTCCGCGTGTTCGGTTTCAAAGTGTCTCGTAGGGGTTGTAACAGAAAAAACACAGCCTTGAACGATGCAATGCGAATAAACGATGGGTCTAGTGTCCCGCCTTGGCGCTGCATCAACCATCTTTGAAGTCTAGTCACGGGCTCTCTCTTACTCGCCAATGGCATTATCTACATTCATTATTTTGTTAAATGCTGTGAGATTTTTCTCTTTCTCGTAACCGTACTTCGGAACTATCTGCCGGATTCGGGGACCTGACTAGACCTGAAGCAGACTATCCGGGCGCCAGGATTGTGGCTCAGCCTCTTGGACCCTAGTCACGGGCGGCCGCCCCAAGATATACAGAGGACCTCTCTGGTTCACGGCAGTGCTGCTTCCCGAGGTTAGTAGACGTCATCCCGTCGAAGCGTTGTCCCGATGCCGGGTCAGTTGCGCCGACGGGACGAATAAAGCTGCCGGGGGGGGGGGACCTCGTAAGGCTGAAGGTGAGGATGCGTGTAAGCGGTGATGGCTCAGTGTGGTTGGGATTTACAGTCAGATGGATCAGGACTTGCCTCTTTATCAGGAGCCTGTAGTAAGTGTGCAAGCTATGGATAAAGCTCTTGGGCGTTGGTGGTGTATCGAAGGTGATGCGAGTACGGAAAAGAGATAGCTCGACCTTCATACATACCTACCTAGGCAGGTTCAGATAATGGTGGAGCAGCGAACTTGAACAACTAAATGCACAAGATCTAAGCATGGTTAGAGGTTCAAAGAACGAGTGTCTTGGGAAAATTTGAGGGGTAGTTTAATCTGAATTCAGTTATAAATGATGGAAATGATTACACAGGACTCTGCTCTGAAACACACAAAGTAGAAGCCTGAGACCGCTTGTGCTACCCCAGACAAAGTCTCGAGGCGAGGGTTAGATACCCCCAACAGTCAATTGACAAAACCAGATACTTTACTATTCTAGTTGATACATTGACAGAAAAAAGGAACAAAGATTTATTGCTATTGACTCATCCTTGAAGACTCTATGGATGCCAATCGTGCGCAGAGTACATTTTTTGGAGACTGCTTTCGAGTATCGACCAGCATCAGACAACCTCGGGCGAAGCTGAAACTGCAAGCCGTCCATCACAGCAGCGATGAGATAAACATCCATGAATTTTAGATGCCTTTCAGGCGTTTAATCAATTTCGCAGTTTAAAAGGCATGAGAATGTCAGCTTCAACGATAATGGCTACCACTCTAAGCGAGCCCCCCGCCGCAACTTAAATCTTCCCTTTCAACACCACACGTTTCTCATCACCAACACAACAACTCCAATCATGTCAACAATCCCCTTTATCATCCACGCCCTCGTGGAAACACCAGCCGCCATATCCTTCATCTTATATCCATCCTTACACCTTCAACCTCTCACACCCGCAGCCACCCTTCTCCTCCAGTCCTTCGGCGGTCTACTCCTCACATCCAACCTCATCGCCCTCATATTCGCTCGTCGACCTTTTGACGACGTCAGCCGCCAAGTCGCCCTCGCTTTTGCATTCTGGCATGTCTGGCCTTGTTATCGCGCTTATACCCGTCTTAATGGACGCGTTTTGGAGGGGGATACGTCTGAGACGAGGAGTACATTTGGGGGACCGGTGGTGCATTTAGGAGTTCACTTGATTTTATTAACCATGTTTCTCTATACCTGGTATTTGGGATAAACACTCAAAAAAGGACTCTATACCACGAGTATACATGTACACAGTCTAGCTTCTAAACAACCTCAAGCCCGCCTCCTCGGCGTCAACCTCCATGTCATCATCACTCTCATCCTCGTTGAGCTCCATCTTGCGGCCGAACAGGGTACCAAAGAAGCGATCAATGGCCTCCTGCTCCCACGCCCTTCGATCCTCAGGCGCCATAAAGTTCTGCAGCTTCTCGTGCACCGTGAAGCGCATCTTGCGGCCCTTGCTCGCCTTGCGGTCCACGTTCTTGCGCGACTTGACCTCCTTGGCCGCCGTGAGCATCACAGTCGGCACCGCGCCTGCCGACGCCGAGGACCCGTCCACCGTGCGCTGGTCCACGAGCTCCTTGAGGAGCACCTGGTAAAAGTCGGCGTCGTCGTAGATGTCGCCGTCCTGCGTCACGCCCTTTGCCGCCTGCGCGGGAGCGCATGATCGAGGAACGCGAGAGCGCTTGGCGAGGCGGTTGTCCGGGTTCAAGAGCTGCTCCTGGAGCGCAGTGACGAGCGTGTCCTTTCGCGACTTGAGAGCATCTTTTGTGGCGTCGACGGACTGGACCTTGCGCGACCACTTATCCAGGCCAGCTTCTCTGACCTTGACAGCCCGCTCCTCCTCAGCCTGCATCTGCTCCCAAATCTCCTGGGTCGTCATCGAAGCGTCCAACTCGCGCTTACGCTTGTCCCCAGCCCGAGACGAACCAAAGTTATCTTTGAGGCTGCTGATGGTGTTCAGCAGCTTGATAGCAGCTTCTTCGGCCGCCTCGTAGGGTTCAGACTCGGGCTCGGGGCTGTCCTCGATGGCGGCAAAGGTGTTGGCGGCGATGAGGGCCTTTTGTAGACGGATTCGGAGGTTGAGGAGACCGTCGTAGATCTTGCGCTGTTCTCGAATGGCAAGACCCTTGTTGACGTCGGTGCGGTTTGAGAAGGCTGCCATGACGGGCTTTACACTCTTCATCTTTTTCTCCTTGTCATCATCGTCGCTGTCCTCTTCATCATCACTGGCCTCTTCATCTTCGTCATCTTCCTCGTCGTCCTCTTCAGACTCGTCATCTGAGTCTCCAGCACCGCCGACAAGGGCGTCGAGGCCATCATCCATGTCGTCTTCTTCCGAGTCAGACCCCTCGAGTTCCACGCCGCTCATCTCGTCTTCGTCCTCATCCACGTCTGCACCACCCTCGCCGCCCTCGTCAGAGGAAGACATAAAGTCAGCAGCAGTGGCCCTCTTGGAATTGCTCACTGGCTTCTTGGGTTTCGAGCTCCCTCGGAAAGTAAAGTCCTGGAAGCGCTCCTCGTCGCTTTCGCCGAGGGCGTTGTCGCTGGAAATCTCAGAGTCGTTGGCGTCGGCCTCGTCGCGCTCCAAGTCTGCAGTCTCAGGATCGTCGAATTCTTCATCATCCTCATCCTCATCCTCGTCTCCCTCGTTGTCGGACTCGCTCTCCTGCTCCAACGCTGCCCTCGAGACGCGCGAGCCTTGATACTTGGGACCGAGCGACACGCCCTCCTTTTGCCTCAGCTTGCTCTTTCCTACAGAAACATAGTGCTCTGTGCCAGCATTCTCGTTCTCGCTCGATTCGCTGTCGCTGCCGTGCTCGCTCACATCGACATTGGCTTCAGGATCGTGGTCTAGAAACGAGTTAGAAACCTTGCGCGACGTGGCGCATGAGAAATTGAGTTACGTACCCTTGGCGATATGCTCGTCCAAGTCCTCAAACTGCTTTGCGCGACCCTTTGCCTTGGCCATTGTCGATATGTATCTTGGACAAAAAGTGTCTTGGATCAGATGCAAAGCTCTCCTACCAATGGTAGCGGCCCCCACGTATGTTGGAAATTTTCTAGGATGGTCTTGAACTTTTAGGCGGTGGAAGATGGCAGAATTGTCGCAGCTCAGTAATAGTGGCGTCGGCAGTGAGTGATAGCGCCGAGGGCCGCTAAGTCGAGCTGAATTGAGCATGGAAGCCTGAGTTGAGATCCAATATTGGATGATATATCAGCTCCAGTTCTAACAATATGCCTGGAGTCTGAATTCCAAGTCTCCTCTCATTGATATAGTCAAACAGACTCTGGGTAGAGTTTGGTTCTTCTGAACTGAGGCCTGGTCCCTCATCTCAGCTCAACTCGACTACACTCCAGTCCTCACAAGATGCGTCCGACTTCTGCTCGCCTCTTTCAGACCCTTCGGGCTCTCCAACATGAGAATCCCCTGGTAACCGACTATACAACCTATTCGTACAAAACAATGGCCTTCTTGTTAACCAATGGCAGGGTCTCCCCCGGTCCGGTACTCCTCCGAACTGGCCTCGACGTCCTCAAAGGCGCAACATAGCCGGTGTTGAGAAGGTAATTGCAGTGTCATCTGCAAAAGGCGGCGTAGGTAAAAGCACAGTAGCAGGTACACCAACTCATATCATATTTATATACAGCCATGTTGATGCGTTTTAGCAAACCTATCTCTCGCCTTTGCCCGTCTCGGTTACCGTGCCGGTATCCTCGACACTGACATCTTTGGCCCGTCTATCCCCACTCTGTTTGATCTGTCAGGGGAGCCTAGGTTATCCAGCAGTCAGTTTCACCGTCAAGTCAAGCCAGTTTCTCGAAATGCTGACAACTTTGTAGAGAATCAGTTGATACCCCTCACAAACTATGGCGTCAAGACCATGTCAATGGGCTACCTGGTCGGCGAGAACGCTCCCGTCGTGTGGCGAGGCCCTATGGTGATGAAGGCAATTCAGCAGCTCCTTCATGAAGTTGACTGGGGTGGTCTTGATATCTTGGTCCTCGACCTGCCGCCAGGAACCGGAGATACACAACTGACCATCACGCAGCAAGTCATTCTAGATGGTGCGTGTTTATAAGGTATTCCTTCTACTGTTACTGATGCTACGCAGGTTCCGTCATTGTCACTACACCTCACACTCTAGCAACCAAAGACGCCGTCAAAGGCATCAACATGTTCAAGACAGTCGACGTCAACATTCTCGGCCTGGTGCAGAACATGTCTCTCTTCCAGTGCCCTCACTGCTACGGAGAGACACACATCTTTGGGTCTAACGCAAGGGTGGAGAAGTTGTGCCAGGAGCATCAGATTGACTTCCTCGGCGATATTCCATTACATCCCAACATTGGAGACGATGGCGAGCGAGGAAAGCCAACCGTTGTCGCTGAGCCAACAAGCGAGAGGGCAAACGCCTTCTTGAAGATCGCTCAGGACATCTGTCCTAAGATCAATCTCAGTAACAACTAGGTAGATGTCCGCTTCACTTGAAGGCGTGTATAATGATGGACAACAATGGTCCATAATACCAACTAGCCCGACCTACTGTATCAGTTCAGTATGCAGTCAACTCCAAGATAGGCAAAGTACGCCATGAGGCAGGTATTCAATTGACCTCTGTTGGCCCATTCAGGCCACAGCTCTCCTATGTGTTTGGATTCTGAAAAAAAAGACAACTGGGTTAAAACGCCAGCAAAGATAAGACGTTAGCCTCTGCCACGATCAAATGCAAGGCATGTTACCAAACAAAGCAATAGCTCCCGAGACTTCCAAACGCCTTCTGCACGCCAATTTGATATCGCGGAAATGCCCTGCTGAGAGAGAATGCTCATTAGTCCAGCTCATCGTTCATTTGGTAGACATGACGGCTTCGAGTTGGGTCTTTTCGCATGGTCTGGCCAGAGCCTGTGAAACCAACTGTCACAAAAGTCAGCATTTGCACTCATAACTCGACACAAGATGCTTACCTCTACCGTGAACACCCTCGGGAGTTCGGAACATGCTCTCCTTCTTGTGAGTCTTTCCGAATTTGGATTTGGCGCTAAACTCTTGCCACTTATTCTTGTTCTTCTCGAGCTCCTTCTTCGCCTTGAGCTTCTTTGCCTTGGGAGGCTTCACATCGCCGTTGTTTTCCGCTTCTCTCTTCGCTTCAGGATACACTGTCGCGCCGGCCGACGTCACCAATCCGGGGGCGGGGGGAGTCGCGGGTGCTGAGGACAATGGAGTACCGTCTGCCTTTCGCTTATTCGAGACAGGGCGGATATCTCGAGATCGCAGGGTCTCTGTGTTATCATACGTCTTGAACTTGACAATATAGATGGGGTCTGTCGAGGACCCTGTGATGGAAGTAATACGCGCCGGGTAGAATGCTTTGTCACCGGTGACCCATTTCGCCAACACTGTGTCGTTGACCTGGTAGTGGACGGGTGTATCCTCCTTCTCCTCGGCTGGGGTCGCTTTCTTAAAGGCGGGGTGGTTCTCGCGGGACCACTTCTCCGGTTCAGCTGGCGGGGACGGCTGCTTGGGAGCTGGCTTCGGCGCCTGCTTAGGCTTGAGCTCAGCAATGTTCTCATTGAGGAGATCAATGAAGTTGTTCAACTCCTCCTTCAAGGCTTTAAGTTCGACGTTCTCGGGGTCGTCGCGTAGTTGGCTGTGGACGATGTCCAGCTGTAGAGACAACAGTCAGTATGATTCAAATTTGAGGCGGAAGTGGATGTCGCACCTGCTCTTGGTACAGCTTCTTCTCATCTTCGAGATCGGATAAAGGTGACATGGCTGCAGAGAATGTATTCGGTGAAAGAGGAGAATGCGATGCTGGACGTAGGGATGTAGTCGTAGAGAGTCGAAGTTGAAGTGGGAGGCGATGAGTTGGTTAGGCAAATGAGGATCCAATGTTTGCAGCGGATGATGGTGGTTGCATGTGCACGTCACGTGCTGTTTTAGGTGACCACTGGCCGCCAGCTGTATGCGTTCAAGTCGCCCAGCAACAGGCGGACGTGAGCTTCTTTGTCAGTTAAATCTCTTGTTCATATGCATTGAAGTCTAACAGACGAAGAAACATCTGTCGCTGTACTATCTATCGGCATTATTCAGGATCAATTGGACGTGGAACAGTTATTCTGGGGTTGATAGGCAGTTCCGACAGATGGGTCTAACCAATCGGGAATAGCGCGGCACCTCAAATCCTGGGGTTGAGAGGGTGTTGTACCGTCTTTATATTCTCATGTATTTCTTTCACAAAAGCATAACCTTGTATTCTACAAGGTGCAGTCTCAAGGCTAGAGAAGACTTGGATAATATCATTATTTTCTGTAACTATTGTATCTCCTTATCTTTACAAACCTCCAACCACAACCCGCGTCTAAACAAGACGAACACGACTTGCCAATACACGTCTCTCACAACAGGGTTTATGGTTGTATAATCCTGGGCTAGTCGGCCACTCTTACTTGTGCTCTGGTAACACATAACCTAAAAGCTGACTCTAGTCCTCGAATTTCCCGGCGGATTGTAACCTTGAAGGCCATGCTCGGGTTACGCCTACAGTCACAGTCGGCCCGGGATGAGAATTGTGTGTTTGTGTGCTCCGGTGGCCCCGAGTTTGGTCGGTCTCCGTTCAAGGAGGGCCCAGACTAATGCAATGTGTATCTCGCCAGTGACGCAAGATGCCCTAGGACACGCATCGCATCGAGCACCATGCTGCGCTGTCGGTTGACTTGACAAAAAAACACGAGAGGAGCCAAGACCCCCCCGCGGGATGATTCGTATGTTGCATGCATATGCTCACGCTTGGCCTGCCTGGCAAGGCGATTCCTAAAGTTCCAGGGTCGAACGGTCTTGTCACAGGCAGGCTTCCATCTACTTCGTGTTCACGTCCCATAATAATGACTCCATCTTTTTCTTACCCATTCTTTTCTTTCTCACGCACCTACAGTAGATGTTCGCTAATAGCTGCATGGTCAAAGTAATTTTATGCTGCAGTACGTGCCGTGTTGCTCACTTACAGTGGGAGAAGACGGACCCTCATCACTATCCACTCTCAACACTGAGGGTTCCAGGTTGCTAGGACGTGTTTCTCTCTATTGTAACCATCTTGAAGCAGCCATCTCAATATCAACCAGAGATAACACAATTTTAGTAGTATTTGCCTTTGTGGCTGGTGGTGTAGGTTTTGTACAAGCGACGGACACGTCTGTTCCCCCCCACTGTAGCACTGTAGGCTCACTCAACACATGCTCATCGCTCTACTCACGAGCCCCTCGTCTACTCAGTCATTCATTTCGCAAAAGACTTGACTCGCTATTACTCAACCCCTCTCAAATCTCGTCTCCTCTAGATTGCGCCTTTCTAAACCCACCAAAAGAGACGTGCCCCAACCTACTAGTCCTAGCCCGGTGTCTCGGCAACACTAGTTCATCTCGCGTCGTTTTGCTTGTTCATTTTGTCTGGGGCTTGGGCTTTTGCTTGGTCTGGAATTGTTCCTTGACCCAAAAAAGTTGCTTCTCCTCTTCGCGGGAAGCTCAACTCTCCTCCCTTCTCCCTCACGCGCGCGCCCTCTCCCTCTCTTCTTCCTCATCCTCTACCCCCACGCGCATCGCATCGTATCTCAGCGCATCGCATTGGACCCCCAGATCGCAAAAAGTGATCGCCGGCCGTCTCCGCTCCTCCGCTGCATTTGACCCTCACCGATTCTTCTCTCGGCCGATCTATTGACATCACTGCGACTTTCGGGTTATAAAGCGAACGCCGCTACATTCAGCTACAGCAACATTTCCTCTGCAGCTTCTAGTTCCTGCAAGGCTGTACATCATTTGCCGAGAACAGCCCGTGATTCGGCTCCGATTCATCTCTCCCAATCCGATCACGCATTCATTCCTCTGCCTGCGCCGCCCTCAGCGCCCATGATAACAGGCACTCGGGTCGTCGGGTTAGCCAGGAGGAACATAACCACATATTCTCACAAAAGCAGAGACGAAACAATCTTAAAAGACCCCGATTTAGTCATCTAGAGTGCTCAATCGAGAGCGAATTGTCTTCGCACCGCCAGCAATCATGCCTCACACACGGGACGCCGACAGCGCATCGTCGACGAGCGGCCAATCAAAACGGCCTCCCCTCAACCATCAGGAGAGCGACTCCCAGAGCGAGAGCAGCGGCGTTCACCATCAACATCAGCGCCGCCATCACCACGTCCGCCATCACCAGCGACAGCACACCGTCGGTCACCTGCACCACGCTCGCGCGCCCGCCGCCAAGAACGCTCCTAAACAGCCCAAGCTGAACCGTCGCCATACCTCCCCGGCCGATGAGAACCAGCAACAGATACAGCGCAGCACCTCCTCGGTCAACAATTCCCACCGCCGAACTGCCAGCGACGCGAGACTATCATCCCGCGAATCCTCGTCAGCCAATCTCACAAGGAATTCGTCCCAGGCAAAGCTCGGCAAAAGCTCGTCGCAAACCAAGCTCTTCAAGAGTCCTTCCCAATCCCAATCAAGGATCGTCAAGAGCCCCTCCCACTCAAAGCTCAAGCGCAACCGCTCGCACACAGAGATTGGCAAGCGAAACCGTTCCGCAGAGCTGAAGCGCGCCGCAAGCACCACCATTGTCTACCAGACGCAGACCTCTGGTGGAAAGTCACAGGTCCACTTCGACTTGGGCAACGACGGCCAGGACGACGAATGGGTCGATGCCAGTGGGTCTAACTCGCCATACCTCTCCCGCAAGGGCTCCCTCAACAGCAGCAATCACTCAGTTCATCATCCCGACGACCACGCCGCGACCTCTCGACCGATCACTCCCGTCGATCCTGTCTCTTCAGCCCAGGCGGGCCACCAGGACCAGCCTGAGCAACCTCCCAAGTCAAGCCCGGAGCGCATCACATCTCACCAGAAAGGCTACCTCACATCCCGCATCCTGCAGCGCACTCCCTCACACGGAGCTCCGCCCCAGATGAGCGCGGATCTGGTGCAGGTTGCGCCCCAACGCTTCGCTCCAGCCTCGGCTGAGGGCCGAGATTCGGGTACTCTTATGGGGAGTAACCAGGATGAGCTTACCTCTCGCTTCGTTGAGGCCGCAGGATCCGGATTGACCAGTGAGGGATCTTTCTACCGGCCGCCTCGGGGAGATTATCACCGCTTCGACGATACTCCTCAAAAACCTCGGTCGATTGCCAGCATCTCAGGAGATCGTGAGGCCCCTACCAGCGCGCCACAACAGAAGGAAGAGGTCGACGACAGTGCATTGGCGCCCAAATCCTCCCGACGGACAGCTGGTCCTGCTGCCCAGACGTCACGGACACAGCAGAAGCTTAATCTCCAACGAGCTAGCTCTGTGATTGAACCGGGACAGGCAGTCGGCGGAGTCGGAGGTGTAGTCGGCCACACGCCGCTGATTGGCGTCGGCGGACCCGGCTATGACGGGGCAAACAGCCGCGACCCCCGAGTCGGCAAGCTTCTGGAGCGCACCGGCATGGAGTATCTCGTCGTTCGTCGACATCAGAACCCGATTTCACGGTCCATCGATCGCCTCAACCGCCTCCCGGGTATGGACAAGTCACTTCGTATCCCAGCCGCCAGCCTCGGCTCCGCCAACGGAAAGCGATCCCTCGACCTCACCATGCGTCACCACACCCGCAACGTCAGTATGCCCGACGCTCGGAGACCAGTGACGCCTAAGAGGCCCAACTCGGTGCGGACGAACGGTGCGGCATCAAGCTACGACGGTGGCGATGACGACGGCAGGTTGACAGACCGGCTTAGCGGCTCGAGCTTGGTGGGCGGCGAGGAGGAGGATGGCACAGCAGCCTTGCTAAGGAATCTGTGGGAAAAGTCGATGGAGTTGAGTGCGAGCACAGATTAGGAACTCTGTGGTCCCGTAGATTAGGAGTCTTGATACCAACCCAGAGAAGGAGCAAGGCGCTGGCGCAGAAGAGGAGCAGGTTGCTGGCAGAGGTTAAAGGTGCTCGCTCTGCTCGAGCACGTGTTTATACGTTTTGGGATACGAGGGCGTTACGGCGCGAGGGGGGTAATGGGAAACTGTACAACTACTGGGGATACTTAGATAGGGATTGGCCAAGACGACGTCACGTCTGGACGTCATGATACGAGTAAATTGTCTCGATACTATTATCAATGCAAGCGAGGATTATATCCAAGTTTTCAAGGTTGAATATACATGAGAAGTGATTGTACGTCTAAATGTCTATGCAGCTCTGAGCCATGCCTCTGATGCCTGCGCCTCCGACAAGGGATGCAAAACCCACCACGCTTGATCCCATCCGTACGCCCACTGATGCCATGTGAATGGTTGTTTATAAAGATTATAATCTTGTTACATTATACGTTGGGTGAGAGTTGATCGTACTTGACACATCGCTCAACCTGTAGAGAATTAGTGTTTTGAATCTTCCATGAGAGTGTATATGGATGATGGGAGAACCACTTACATCTTCAATGCTGGCCTGCATAAACCTCCTCGCCTCAAGTCCCACCCATACCATCAGCATGGAAAAGTCACCATGCTTGACCATCTCTGTACCGCTCTGGGCACTGAGCTGGCGCAGAATGGGCAGTGAACTGCTGAGCAGGTCAACGTCGGGGTTCAGACTACGTCCAATGCCTTCAAGCAACAAGATGCTGATGACAACATTGACAAAGTCGCCCTCGAGACGAACATGATGGTTCCGGACCATGCTGAGCACCTGCTGCAGAATGTCGCCGATCTTGACGTTGCCGAGAGCCAGCGTGCGGCTCTTGACGCCGAGGACAAGGTGTTGCATCTTGAGGGCAAAAACTTCTTCATCGAGCACAGCGTCCGGTTGACGGCAGCGCTCGCACATGAGATGGCCAGCCTTGTAGCCGTCAAACTCGGCCACGGCCCGGAAGAGGTCAAGGAAGTTGGTGCGGTTCACCGAGTTGAGCTCGGTCACTAATCCTGTGTCGATGAAGATGAGTTGAGGCCGGAATCCCTCGGCGTCAATCTTGACCAGCTCCGCTTGCCATGCCGCTGGGTCCTTTCGGTGTCTGTATGGTCGGAGACGCTCAAGCACTTGCTCGGTAACATCATCCTGCTCATCAGGGTGAGCCTTGGACATGGTTTTCCGCAGACGCAACTCCGGGTGAGCCGATTGGTAGAAGCGGACCATGATGTTGCCAGGATGCAAATCAGCATGAACAAAGTTGTCGAGGAGCAGCATGCGCAGAAAAGCGTCAAGGCCTTCATCAGCAATATCATGCTGAAAGACGCCGCCGCCATTCTCTATAAAGTCTGCCAGCGGAATGCCCTGAGCAAACTCTTCGATCAAGACATTGCGTGTTGTAAAGTCTGTGTATGGATAGGGGAACGACGCCGTAGACCTTTCCTTGAAGTTCTTGCGGAATATGGCCAGATTTGCTGCCTCTATGCGAAGGTCAAGCTGGAGTTTCATCATCTCTCCAAACTGAGCAACCTCGTCTGGCAGCGAGAGCCATTCAATGGTTGGGATAATGTTAAGTGCGGAAGCAAAGAAGTGCATGATGCGGAGGTCTCGTCGAACCGTTCTCTCAACATTCGGATGCAAGACCTTGACAGCAACATAAGATGAAGGTACTCTCTGAGGTGAGCTCTTGAGTACAGTGTCCACATTGCGCAACACGTTATGTGCCAACGGGTGCAAGGGGTTGTCTTGAGCATCAATCTCATCCGGCCGAGCCAGGTCAGGCTTCAACTTGGCCTTGTAGACCTGTGCAATGGCTCCAACGCCGAGAGGCTTCTCGTGAAACTCGTCAAAGATGTCCTCAAAGGCACGGCCCCCAAATGCAGCCTCAACCGTCTTACGGGTGGCGTGCATCGAGTGAGCCGGGGCGTTGGAGTGAAGCTTGGACATGATCTCGCACATCTCTGTAGGGAAGATGTCTGTTCGTGAGGCTGCCCACTGCCCAAGCTTGATGAAGGCCGGACCAGCCAGCTCCATGGCATTGACCAAGAACCCATACCACCAGAGCGTGCCAGTGCGTTCATTATCTCGATCTCGTTGTCGTCTTCCAAACCAGATGGCCGGAACTGTAATGATGACGGGGACAAAGATAACGACAAGTTGGAGGAAGCGAATGCCGGTGCAGACGGGTTCGACTATCAACAAGTCCAGCAGGTATGTGATGCGCTTCACCAATTTCGAGGCACCTCGAGACTCAGCAGGCACGCTCTTTTTAATCTCAGCCCGCGATACCTCGAGCATGCGTTTCTCTCCTGTGTCGTCTCCGCTCCCATTTTCTTGTTGCGACAGTTGAACAAATGCCGCCGTTCCGAGCGCCGCCGCGCCACCAGATGCGCGCAAGGCTATTGTCCTTGTCCTGCCTGCCGGCCATTGTATCGGTCGGTATCGGCGGGCACCCTGGGAGACGAATCGGCGGCTAAGGAGTATAACGCTGAGGTTGGGACATGTTCGAAAGCCCGGACGGACGAAGAACCGGCATGCGAAGGAGCCAGCCCTCATCTCGAAAAAGGAAAGACGTGGTTATCGAAGTGTAGAGACGCGAACAATATCATGTTCTCATATCTGGGGGGGACGACATCCGAGGGGGTGAATAGCATGTGCCAATAGGTATAAAAATGTCGCTGTAGGTATGATGCGAAGACTTATTTGCAAGGATGCCCGCAAAGACACACATGAACCGACTAAAGTGACGTCGAGGAGTCGAGTGACGTACCTTCCTTCTATTCCGATTGCGCTCGGGAATAAATCGGAAAAACACGTGCCTCATCCCGGCTGCACGCTGGGAAGGTGCAAGGATGCAAGGATCTCGCGCGGGTTCCCCCGGCGCCGGGACGGAAGTGGGAAGGCACGGTCGTTCTTGCCTTTGCCTTTTGCGCCTAGAATTTTTTTAATGGGCGGCGATAACGCAAAACGTCAGGCAAATTTCCTGCTCGCCCATTTGTCCATTCTTTTTAACCATCTCCAAATCTTCATCCTCGTCATCATTGACAACCACTTCTTGCGACTTTTAACTCTCTTGTCTCTGACCCTGAGGGACCTAATACTTTACATTTATCATCACATCTTCCTTTCTACTTCGCAGTCTTTCACAATGGGTTGGTTTTGGGCCGAAGCTGCTCCCGCGACCGTCCATGTCCCCATTGGACATCCGTCTGTCCCCGCGAACGCCGATAAAGCACCTCCCGTATGCTCATACCCTCAGCCATTCTCGTCTGTCGCTAATTATCCTCCAGGCTGGTTGCCCTATGCATAAAAAGACCCTCGACAAACTCAACCCCGACGCCAAATGCCAGAAGCCCCAAGATGCCCCAGCTGCATCAGGCTGCCCCGTCCCTCATGCCGCCAAAACCGAGGAGAAGCCCAAGTCATTGATCTCCCAGCTCAACCCTCTCAATTACATGTTCCCCGATCTATCCCAGAAGCCCGCGCCTAACCAGGCTTTCGCTCTACCAACAACACGAGATGAATCAACTATCCCCAAGGGCTCGGGCGACGGGAACTGGGAGTACCCCTCCCCTCAGCAAATGTACAATGCGCTCCTACGGAAGGGATACACAGACACGGACATCACGGCCGTTGAAGGCATGGTTTCGGTGCACAACTTCCTAAACGAGGGCGCATGGCAGGAGATCATCGGTTGGGAGCAGCGATTCTCCAAGGGACTGTACAAGGGATGGCAGCTCTGCAAGAGGGGCGAGGCTCATTTCGATGAGGAATTAGACCGACAGTGGGATGGCTCAGATTCTGAGCCTACTCTCGTCCGCTTCCAGGGCCGGCCCAAGGACTTGACTCCCAAGGCCACCATGCTGCAGGTCCTGGGTTGGGTCTACCCCTCCAAGTTTGGGTAAGTTGCTTTTCCCTGACAAATCACAGAATCTTGTCTAACAAACTTCAAGCACCGAGCCTCCTTTCGACCGACACGACTGGTATGTTTCCCGAGATATCAACGGCGAGAAGAAGGAGGTCCGATATGTCATCGACTACTACTCTGGTGAGCCCGAGGTCGATGGCGAGCCCGTCTTCTTCCTGGACGTGCGCCCTGCCATGACCCCCCAAGGCGCTGCCGAGCGCATTATCCGATGGAGCACGGATGTATGGTGGAAGGCCATTGGCGGCGACAGGCGGGAGCAGGACCCCCAGCCCTGGTTCCGGGGTACTTAGTAACGGATGTCAATTTCTAGGCGCTTGGGTCACGACGGATGCATGTTTTGGCTAGGGACGCTTGTTGCATTTTTCTCCTCTCTGATTTCAACGGATGGGCTGTATTTCTATAATCATGACTGAACGTCACATGTACGAGCCGCGAAGGGGGAAAACTATATCGTTTTTGTATTATACAGGATCATTGGGCTCGGCAACGCCTAGTTCAGAGTAACGGCCAAATTGTTTACCTGGTCCAGCAGAGCCTGGTCCTCTCCAGCCGCGTTCTTGAGCACCTTTCCAAGCTGATGCTCCACCGTCATGCCGGGAACGTCGGATACGACGCCCTGTGCCTGTTGAATACGTGCCATCTGAAACTGGATGAAGAACTTGGGGACCTTGACGGCGAGGTTTCCCCCGACGGATCTGATGCCCGCTTCGGTTGCGAGGTAGACATTGAGCTCGTTCTGGAACACTAGCAAATCGTTGTTGGCCAGCGGCTCAGTCGTTGCGAATTGATCGAGAGCGAAGGCGAGAGGCGTCTGGCCCGAGGTGGCAAAGTTGATGGAGGAGAAAGTGACGCCGCCGGAGGAGACATCAGGGACGCCGTCGATGGTGGTCTGCGAGGTGTCGCACGTAACGGTGCCAGCGAGAGAGGCGGCCAGCTCGGAGGTCTCCTCCGGGAGGGCCTCAGATCCGATCAGGAAGCAAGCATTCTGGCGCTTGGCGAATTGAGGTGCTAAGAGTTGTGAGCTGGGTCGGACTATCAATGAAGCATCCAGGGGGAGTATACCTGCGAGGGCAGTGCCAGCGAGGAGGATGAGAGTTGAGAAATACATTTCAACGAGAGTTGTAATGAGTTGCAAGTCGAGATAAAGACTGAGAGAGAGAGAGAATGAAAGCCAATAAAAAAGTAAACAAAAAAGCGTTCTCCAGAGAACTCAAAGAATGGAAATGATGAGGCTTGCTACAACATTTCCATCAACAGAGGGCATCACAAGCCCTTTTATAAACACCCGTCTACTCCATCTCAAAAAGCCAAGGCTCATTGAAACCCGAGTTTGATACCAAGCGCTACACGTTTTTTTTACCGAGATGTATTCTCATCTTGGGCTAGCTTTGATGCCATTCCCGACAAGGTTCGTCTCACCACCGAGCTTGACGAGTCTCCTTGAGACATGGGACGCAGCAGATGCAACGTCGTTAGGGAAAGCGTCGCTTTTGGGTAGGATGGAAACGGCCATACTAGGAAGAGAATGTCTTAGAGCAAAGAATTATAGTTATTTGCAGTCACTGAGTTTATGCGAATGGAGTTCAGACGAGGCCGTCAGGAGGCTCTCACCGTTGTTAGCCAACCTTCCTCTTGTGACGGCGCCAATGAAACCCCAGCCCTCGTTTCCTCGGTCCCAATGCCGGTTCAGGGTCTCAATTTTGCCAAACTTGATTCACATCCTCACAAGCATTGAGTCATGCCCATGGGATGAACTGCGGTGTTGAAATATTCATGATCAAGTGTTCGTCCTGTAAGTGTTTCTTGCCGGGCTCTGTAAGTGCAGCGTAGACAATCTTGAGTTCCATGGATGCCATGCTACTTCGATTCTCAACAATGTCTTCATATAGGCAGCCCTTGGCATCCGGAAAGAGCGGCAATACTCATAGCCACACATGGCTTAGGTAGGCAAAGGTTATAACTGACACTCACCTAGCCAGGGTCGACATTAGGCAAGAGCCCTATAAGTTTCTACTGTTAAAATATACACAACTTCAATCATGATAATCTGGAGTAGTTAAGGGTACTTGTTACCTAGGCTGTGGGCATTGTTGTCGTCGAGGTTGTCTCTGTACGAGTACGAACTCTCTCCATTCTAAGTAGTATCGTGGCCGTGAACTTGACAGGTCCTTGGGGCTTAATAAACTGGCTCAACTCAGTAGCGCTTTTCATCCCATTGGCCACGGCTCATCCCCTCGGCAAGCTTGTTGCAGGAGGGTTTCAAGGATCCCCAGCCTCTGCATCTGCACATCTGAAACCTCGGCCATACTACCACGTAGTCGCTCAGTTGACAGCATTAACATAACCCCCATATAAGTGGCTTAGCAGCTGCACCCGACCCTCGTTTCCTGTTTGAGTCAAACCCCGAGAACATTTTCCTGTTTTCCTTTGTCTGAGGGTTGCTTCAGGTTGGTGGTCTACTTTCCGAATTAGGCAACGAATCTGTAACCGGCCAAGTCGAGTCGAGATCTGAGCGCCAATTGAGACGTTCGGTTACATGGATGACACATGAATCTCTTGGATCTTTGTTCTTTCAGGGAAAATCCTGGTACATTTCTTCTAGATTTATGAATATTTAGCTTTTTTCCCCTTTTGATTCATCCAGACTCTTTTTTTGTTGTTTTACTTTTACATTCAAGTGCATGCAGCCAGGTGCTGTGAGAGCCCGGATCAACGTAGCTCCATTCGACCAATCAGCGCCCGCAACTCTCCCGTGGTCCCTGGAACTTTTTTTCCCTTCTGCCAATCTAGTCTAGACTCTAGCTAGCAGTCGCAGGGGAAATCAAGCCCTTTCATTCCTTCTCCTAGAAGCGACATCACCATTTCACGGCGCTTTCTGCGTCGCAACAGACCATCCACGACAGCGAGCCTGTTCGCCATGTCCGCAGAGGTATCGTCGGCCTCTTCTAGCGACTTCACGCGCCTACACATATCCCCTCTCGATCCCGACTTGCTCAAGATCGTCCTGCCAGCTTCGGTCGCTTCCCAGGCGCGCAACGTCTCCTACCATACTATCGAGACTTTTCCCGAGCGCCGCTACGGCTTTGTCGAGCTGCCCGTCATGGAAGCTGAAAAGATCAAGAAGAAGCTCAATGGCGCCGTCCTCAAGGGCACCAAGCTAAAGATTGAAAAGGCCCGTCCTGAAGAGAGAGTTGAACCTACAGGCGAGCTCGACAAGGAGGAAGGGAAGAAGAGCAAGAAAAAGTCAAAGGACTCCACAGATGGATCGAGGAAGCGGAAGCGCGACCGAGACATCGTCGACGGTGTGGTTTTGACCGATCGCAAGGTTAAGCGAGGCTGGACAGAACCGGCAGACCAGCGGAGGAAGAAAAGCAAGAAGGACAAAGAGAAGGAAAAGGACGGAAAGTACACGGAGAAGAAGAAGCGGCTAAAGTCAAAGTACACGGAGCAAGAGGAGTGTCTGCTCAAGACAAAGGTGCCGCCCAACGCCGTCGCCAACATCTCGGAGGACAGCCAGCCCCGGAAGCGCAAGAAGAAGGGCAAGTCGCGTGAGGTTACGGTCCACGAGTTTGAAAAGACGACAAAGTTCCCAAGCTTTTTGAAGAACTCTGTGCCCGAGGACGCTCCCAAGACGGCTATCGAGTACGTCGAGGACAAGGGCTGGGTGGATGAGGATGGCGAGGTGGTCGAAACTGTCAAGACAAAGAAGGTTGCCAAGTCTACTCCCAAGAAGTCAAAGAAGGTCACTCCTCCTCCGGTGGAAGAGTCGGACGACGACAGCACGAGTGACAGCGGCACCAGCAGTAGTGGTTCGTCCTCGGATGAAGACGAGGAAGAGGAAGAGGTATCAAAGCCCAAGGCAGTGCCGCAAAAGGACCAAGATTCTTCCTCCGAAGACTCTTCCTCTTCCTCTGACGATGACGACGACTCACCTCAGCAACCTGAACACGCAACACCTCTCTCAGCCATCAAAGCCGACGCCTCAAGACCCATGTCCTCAAGCTCCTCGAGAAGCCTCACCATCAAGATACCCCCTCCCCTCACCCCCTCTGCCACAAAGGTCCACCCCCTCGAGGCCCTCTACAAACGTTCCAAGCCTGACGCCGACGCCACCGAGACTCGTGCTAAGGAGCCCCAACCGTTCAGCTTCTTTGGCGGAGGCGATGACGATGATGACATTGAGGAGGAGCAACCCGTTGAACGCACACCGGCCCCTATGACCCCCTTCACTCGTCAAGACATCGAGTGGCGCAACGTTAGAAGCGCAGCGCCCACACCAGATACGGCGCACCCCTCGCGCATGCGCAACTTCTGGGCCGACGAGGAGGACGAGGACGCCGACATGGAAGATGCCCTGCGTGAGGCAGAGCAGGAGCACGATGAGGATGACGATGGGCAAGAGACGGCGGCCCCTGCGCCGGGCTCGAGCGACTTCCAGGCCTGGTTCTGGGATAACAGACGCGACCTGAACCGGTCTTGGATGAAGCGGCGCAAGACGGCTGCCAAGGAGAAGAGGCATCGGGAGAACAAGGCGAGGGCCAACAAGGCCGTTTAGAATATGTAATCAACGATAATTCAATACGATGACGAGATATTCCCTGCTTATACCATCCATCATGGATTTTTTTCGCTGTCAGGATTTGCGCGGCCTACCCTACACATGACTATTTACATTAAGATGCGAGAGAACTTGTTCATTTTTGCAGTGATGGTCATACTACCTGGTCTCGATTATAAGTCCTTTTAGTTTAGTGGCAAGTTCCTAAACTGTGTTGCCTGTTGATCGTCGCGCTGAACATGGTGGTCGGAATTTGACATGGGCTACTGAAAAGGAGGCTCACGAGGATCGCCCATGGCAAAGACTAACGTGCAAACTCCAACATCAACGAAACCTGGCTGAAGCCGTATGCTTTGTGATTTGAAATAGTCAGACAGCGTCCAAGCAAGATATAACTCAATCAAGTCTTCCATCCGATTGCTCTTCTGGTTGTTTGACAGTGACACCGACCGCCAAAATAGTTCTTCGCAAGTTTGCCTAGATGCTGCACAATGTTTGATAATTACAAGGTCTATTGTCTATTCAAGGCTCTAGATTAGGGTTTTAGGTATCTCGGACTTCCCACAAACAAGAAACTTCCTCTGCCAGTGACCATTGTGCATCACGCTGGGGAGCCTGCTCGGCTTGGCGTCAGGAAATCATCTTCACAAACATGCGGCCGGTTATCCTCCGAGCAAGTGTTCTTCCTCTGGCGATGCAAGTTAAGTCTGGCCCCCGTCAAGGCCTCGTATATCCCTGTTTTGTCCGGCCTCGGTGGCTCCAGCGTGTTCTTGACCACAATGCTGTCCCTTGACCTTGGCGCGCTGCTTGCCAGGGTTTCTTGTTCCTCTGTGACTGCACCGTGTACCTCACTTGACTTGCGAGAATGATGTCGGTGGAAAAGCCTGTGACTCCCTTGCCTGATCCTCTCCATTAAACTGGGCCGCGTTCTACTGTGAAGTTCGGTTGTCTCGTTTGTATCGCCAGCTACCTGGGTGCTGCGGCGCCTCTGGGAGTCCAACCCTAGCGAAGCGCTGAGCCTCTTTTCTGCCGCCAGAGTTGTTGTCAACCTGGACGGATCGATGCCTTCACAGTCTGACTTGGAATAGAAGGGGTTCTCGGCAAACAGAGAGCGGTCTGTATTGCCTGGCTTCAGGGGTAGGTCCTGAGATCCAGAGGAACTAGTCGATTCATTTCCACAGTGTGCATCAACACCCCGACGGTACAAAGTGGACGAGGTACGCTTATTCAAGTCTTCAGCGTCAGTAGGTGGGCTTTGCCAGTCACTGGTGCAGTGGCGGGACAAGAGCTTGGGGAACGACGTGATAACTGTGCCGTGACTTATCCGCTGATGCTTCTCGAAACTCTTGTTGCACATAATGTCTGCTAGAATCTCGGCAGTGCTCCTTGAAGTGGTATAATGCCGCAAGATAAAGTCGCTGTTGGCCGTTGAAGGATGACTCTGTCGACGATCGTCCAAGGACGAAGGTAAGGGACCGTGAGTCGGGGAGAAGCAATCTGACGCGGCTCGACCATGGCTTCCCGAGGCTTCATCGTAGTTTGGAGGATAGCTCTGGGCCCAAGTAATCTCGGCAACACTCTGGCGCGAGACCACTGTGGCTGTGGTATCTGCATCCGCCCCTCGAGTCTTGGTGTGAACTTTCATGTCTGTCGAGTTGATGCTCGTGTAGGATGTCTTGGGCAGACTGATGGTGGTGGCAGGATCTGCTAATGTTCCTGATTGAGGTATGAAGGCGTTTGAAGACTCGTCAAGAGTTGGGAGAGATCGACTTCTAGCCGAACCCTTGGTACTTTTCCTTTCCGTCTCAACCGTTGATTTTCTTTTCCCACCTTCTTCCAAAACAATCCTCACAATGTCGCGGATATCCTCGTCACCCACCAGGTATAGCCCGTTCGCCGCTGGGATATGCTTTCCTTTGCCATCGATGAAGTGGAGATGTTCCCTCAAGTGTCGAATCATTTGAAGCCTGTCGCTTACTTTCTTGACAATATCTTGACTGACCTCGGGGCCGATATTCATCATGTCGCTGGAGCTTCGCTCAGCTCTGTGGGAAAGGCGTGGTCTGTTGTGCAGAATAAACGCACCTCGATCTTCTGCATCTTGAGATCCGCGGTATGTTGAGCTAATGGACCGTGTATCAAAGACGCCGTGGACTTTACTTTCGGAGTCGCGGGATGCTTCGGGAGCTTCAAATGTGCTAATGGACTCAGTATCAAAGTCTCTCAACCGTGGGGTGTCGCTGCCCGTAGTTGCAGCCTTGGATGCTTCATCTTGAAGCCGATTCGGTATGGCACCCAAGCTGTAGAGCTTTGCTTCGGGGATTGATCTGAGATGCTTCTTTGTGAGGGCATGTGGAGAACGACTGGGGTTCTCATGAACTGCAGAGTCGACATCTGGGGCTCTCTTGTCTGCCTTTGGCTGTTGGGGCGTATCGTTATCTTCGTCGTACAAACTGACGTTTGACTCCCGAGCAACCGTAGCAGTCTTGGTTGGCTCTTCTGTAGTTTCATCCGGATTATCTTGATCTGGTTGTGTATCTTCCGGGTCGGGCGTGAGAGGAAGAGAGTCACCCGCCGTCGTAGGTTCTTCCGAGATTTCCAACGTCAATCCCTCCACCGCTTGAACTTTTGGGGACTTGGGGGGCGCTTCCGCACTGGTCTTCTAGACCATGGCATTTCCACTTCCATCGCTCACGAGGCCAGAGTAGAGTGCTTCTTTCGGGGCAGGCTCGATCTTGACCTCGGTGTGACCTTGCTTCTTGGTCAAAGTGGCTCCATGACGAGCAATGCCGTGCGATGAACCTCCGGCATTGAGGGTTTCTGGGTAAAGAATGATTTCTGTCTGATGGGGAGGCGAGAAGATGTGGGGGAACTTGGGAAGACAACGGGTCGCATCGTCGTCGTTGGCGTCCATGCTGTCGAGGCAAGTATCCGGATGTACTGCTTGTAGGTGTATTCTCGGTAGATGCTGGTGTGTAGGTGAAAAGGGGAATTACGTCGGCATGATAACGGGATAGGGCAGACAAAAGAGGGAGAGTGTGCTATATGAAGTGATTCAACGCGATGTGAGAAGGAGATGGAATAGGGAGGGAGAGCGCTGTTTAAAGAAGAAGCTAATTGTCGGAGTCCGGCCTGGGCAGGTACCTAAGCAGTCCTTCCTTCTTCATTCCGAGCCGAACTGCTCGGGAAGGAACATACCTCAGGTTGCTCAAATTTGGGAGTGTCGAGATGGGCTCTGTCGGTCTCCCATACGCACATCACATCACCCTTAGAATAAGCATTGCATAGGGTTAGACAATGATAGGACACTTGGATTGAACTTCATCTTGTTTTATCATGCGTCAGTTTATAGCTCCCCTAGACCAGAGATAACGCTATCCATGCCGATATAATATTTAAAGATTTGATGTTATTTCTCATTTTTATCTCTGATTTAGCTCGTAGTTACCTAGACTATGAAGTGAATATACTTTATAGGCTTAACTGAGGGCAGCCGTCCTGGCATCCCAGATTTTTTACAACCGCGTGCCAGCTCCAAGACGTGACACCCATATCATCAATATGCGAAAAACCAATCACGATCATCCGCCTCATCACTCCCTGGGATCCTCCCACGATCCGCCTCCTACGGCAGTGGCGATCCCTTCCCAGGGGTCCAGCTTGAGCCGCCCCCAAACGCTGACCCGGGTGTCTGGACCGGGATCCCAATGTTCCTCACTGGCGTCACCGGCTCTGTAGTGTCGGCTGGCAGAGGCGGCGGCGTATCCGACCTCGGCACGTTTGAATCATCTTTGCGAGGCGGCTTGAAGTTCACATCTCGACCAGCACGGTAAATATCCTGTAGCATCGTCTCGAGGATTCCGGCATCCTGGAACTCGAGATATTTCTTATACAGCTTGAGGGCTGTCCGGGAATCCTCGATCGAGTCGTGTGTCTCCATCTGGATGTCTTCCTTCAAAAGGTACCACGCTAGGAACGCCAATGACAGCTTTCTCAGGCGGGACTTGAGGAAGAACAGGTCGATGGTGTCGATAATCTGTGATTTGGGGATATGAATGTTGATAACTCGGAAATCCTGCTTCAGACCGTGACCCAAGAATTTGCATCCAAGATTGAGAAGAATCCACATCTTCTTGTATGCCATCTTCAGGGGTAAAAGACTGTGCTTTGAAACTCGAGGATCCAGATCCTGTTCAGTAATTCCAGAGTATGACGTGAGATAGTCGACGATTGGTTCCCTGATGGAGATATAGTCGTCGATGAATGGTGTGCCCTCATCTTCGCCCTGTCCGCGCACAACTGACGCTCGAGCGAGAGCATACACAATGGGTCGAATGGTCTCTCTCTCACCATCCGAGTTCATTTCGATCTCTGGCTGTCGCACTGCAACAAACTCGGTATCGAGGGCAATAATGGTTTCAGGTCCAGGTGCTTCAGTTTTGGGATTGAGAATCTGATACGTCTTTGCCTCTGGATCCGTGGTAGGGCTTTTGCCTGTTAGTACCGTAGCTTGAAAATGACGAGGCGAGTCGTACCTGAAATCTTGATATAGTATCGATGTGTCAATGTTCGTCTTCCACGACATGTCGATCTTATTGTTGGCCTCCTTCACTTGGTATGCAATCACAGAGGGGACCTTCCAGGACATGTTGAAAGTGAGGGCTTCTTCCGTGCTGACCGATCTCACCAAAAAGTCGTTGAAGAGATGCCATTGACTCTCGCCAGGTGCCTCGGTTTCCGCGTGTGCAACTATATTTGATCAGTCATGAAATTTGATGTAGCTCAGGGGACTTACCATTGACCATTGAGACCAAGTGAGACTTTTGCGTCTGCCCGCTTTCAATGTTGATGGCCATGCCAATCAGCGAATACACTGTGATATTGTGTATGCCTCGTTGCAGATGGAGCTTCAAGTCCTCCCCTTCATAACAAAAGAATTGACCGTGTTCAACGATGATTCCAATCTCCTCAGGAAGCCATCCGGGAGTTGACCAAAGGATCCGATGGTCCGAGTTGGTGATGGCCGTGTTCAGCATGAGCACGGCTGGGACACTGTGAATGCTCTTTCTAGTCGCAATCGTCTGGTATCGTTGACACCGACTGCACCATCCTTTAGAGGTTGTCTCCCTCTCGACGCTATTCTTGAGGACCTGAGAAAAAGTGATTCGTGGCATCTTTGCGCCCCGAGCTCCAGATTTCTGATCCAATGTCAGTTGGCTTGGCTCACGGCCACCCGCAGCACTCACATTTGATGGATAGAGTAGATCGTTGACATAGGTCGACCCAGGACGTGTGTACTCGCTTCGACAGCTGATACACTTGATTGAACTGGTCGCCGATGTCGCTAGCACTTGATCCATGGCAGAAGATGCTGGATTGATAGACTTGTGGTCGTGAACGATCTTATCCAAGAGAAACCGGGTCAGGCCCTGCAACATGACGTTCAAAGACGAGCCATGAGGGTCCTCCTCAAGAAGTCCAAGAGGGCCGGCTGGACAGGTCAGTAACCGATTTCATTCATGTGCATAAGAAAGTATACCTTGCGGGTGACTGCTGAGCGTCTTGAGCAAATTTGTTGCTTGGCAGATAGATCCCTCGGCTTTTTGAAGCATATCAAAGAGAAACCCGAGTTCGCATAAAAGACAAATCTCGCTCACGCATGCGGTGGCGGCGTGTTGTAGGGCGAGATTTCGGATGATGGGAGTAAAGTGCATAATCTGAAGGAGGGAATTGGCGTATGAGTTTGAAATGTGAATCTCGAGTCCAGAATGTCGGGTTTTATTATAGAATCTGCGTCCGGTAAGCAAAGCCCATAAATAGCCATGGCTCGAGGGGGAACCAACCCAAAATCAAAGTCATCGACACCAAATTTGCTGTATTTGATCTCAACATTGCGATACATCACCGGCACTTCCGACTTCTTGCTCTCAATCTCCAATTCGGTAAAGGGACCGGCAAGTTCGTCCGCTTTGTCGTCCAAGGCCGCAGCTTGCGATGAAGCCAGCTCGCGGGCCTTCTCGCTGAGAAACTTGGGAGCTTTGAGTCCGGAGCTGCCGGCCTTGTTGACGTTACGAGTATCCTCGGCCTGGTTTCTTCGAAGCCCTCGAGTGTTGCGGCCGTACAGTCCAAATTCAGTCGCCTTGAGTCCAGAGAGAAATTGCGCGTCGAACTTGACGGGAGGCGCACCCACATCGCAAGGTATGTCAGGCCAAGCAGATGCAAGGGTGTCTCGATAATATGGTAACCCGATAGTGTTAAATGGCCTACTTCAGTCAGCATAAGAGCAATTCCATATTGGCCGGGATAACTTGCGTCTCTGATGTCCATTCGATACTGGGCACAGGTTCCTCAGGGGTTGCAAAATCGATAGGGGTAGGTAAATCAACAAAGTGAAGTTTGGTGGGCGACCCCCAAAGATGAACATAGCACTCCACATCGGTCAATGCCATCGACTCGCCAGAGGGCGCGATCTCAAACATGCTAAGATATGAGAGCACATTGGCCTGGCGAACGTTGCTCGTGTTAGGATTCATCAGGTCCACCACATGGATCTGCCCGCCCTGAGAGACGACTATGCTTGTTGTCAGCATCCTAGGATGCATGCGCACATATGCAGCGCCGGCAGGGAAGGGAATAGGGGGCATCGATGTCATCTTCTTGATGTCAAAGACGTTGAGGAAGGGGTCGAGCATCAAATTCTGTCCTTGGCGTAGAGAATATCCGCAGGTGACAACAAAGTCATGCTGGGCGTCCATGTCGTTAATCAAGGCCGAGTGGGCATTCCAAGTCTTGACAACTGCGAATGTGACGGGATCGAGAAGGTTGACGGAACCATTGTTTGTTGCGGCGCAAATGTAGCGGCCGCGCCTCATGATAGTATATTGGTGCTCAGTTGGAACCTGCAACTCATGTTAGACCAACGCATTGAATCGGAACGGATTTACGACCGACTTGTTTGACGACATCACCCTTAATGAGGTCAATAACAAGCATTGTATCTTGTAAGCCAGCGACAATGATTTCCGCAGTCCCCTTTGACGTAAAACTCATACATCGTAAATCATCCATATCATCACGTCTGCTCGTCGTTAGAAGCCTCGCCTTTCGGGATCTCGGGTTCCTTACTTGATATGCCACATTGGAACCCCCCTCCTCATCGCCATGTGCACATCCTTGGCTCCCAGAGCCACAACACCTTTCTCATTGACCAATATCTGGCGAACAGGGCCATCGGCGGACGCGTGCGCTTTGAAGGAGGTATATCGCTGAAGCTCTGTGCCATAGAAAGAAGTAACCCGGCCCTAGAATCGTGTGAGTGCCGTCCTAGGTGCCATTATAGTTCCGATTGGCGCAACATACATAGTCATTGCCAGTCCAGAGGAGCTCTTGCGACGTATCAAATGTCATAGTCGTCACAGGAGTGGGAAGCGCGTGCACGCCCGGAGGCGGAAACTGGATCCGGGCGACCTAGGAAGAGCCAGATCGTCAGCATGTTTATTGGCGATGTATATATTATCGCGACCTGGAAAACCAGCGCAAAAGGGCGGTTTGTCTCTGCAATCCGAGGCTGGGCGCATCGCTGTTGGGCAGACATACCTCATCCCAATCACCGTCCATTGTGGCAGGATATCCACATTCTCCAAAAGCGCATAGCTTTAAGGAAGCGCGCTGGGTCGATTACCAGGCTGGCCAAGGCCCAGGTTACAGCTTGGACCCGGAATAGAGAGAATAGAGGCGAAATGGGTGGCTGATGGGCGGAATATCGATGTTTACGAAGAGCAGAAGTGGGATGCTGAGCTTGGATGCGGTTCAAGGTGAGCTTGGGGTCCAGCCGATGTTCTCCCGGCGGGCAACGATGAAGGTCCTTGTGTACTTGATTGGCAGGGCAACAATGAGGAGAGCAATGCACAGCGAAAGCCAAATTCAAATGACGTTTAACGTGCGAGAGTGAAGATATTTCAAAATCAAGATTTTTAAGTATACTCGACTGGAATTGTGTTTGCTTGCTTGAACAGCTGGGATCAGCCACTGCAGTTACACAGGGAGGTACTTTGATGGCGGGGAGCTAGGTGGAATTGACGCTCGTGGGGGCCACCAAGGACGGGACGACTGGAGCGCGGGAAGAGACAAATCCTGGTCTGTTTATGAACTCGGCATCCATGGAGATATTCATGATAATGTTTCTTGCCCGTGGTGCACATCACTGAAACGGCCGTTTGTACTTCGAAACGTCAGCTTTCATGCGTTGAAAAACTGAAGAATTTGCCACTATCATCCCAATTCGACGTATACAGCTTGTTATCATGCTTGCATTTCACGTCTGCATATCTACAGATGCACATCGTCTTATTCCAAACGCGACTCCGAGATAGTTCTCGCATTCAATGCGCGTTGACCGGGATCTCTTGTACATGCGCCATGCAACAACACACGATCTGGCAAGATGTGCAGGGTCGAGAATGTGGTAATCTCAGCTCTTGGCCCCAAGCCTTGCTCGATCTTTGAGGAGGTCGAAAAATCATTCTTTTCTTCTATTCATCGTTTCTATGTCTTCAGCATGACGCTGTTCTATGCCAATCAATGCAAGCCGCTATCAATGAAAACACATGCTCCAAACCCAAAATCAAGCGCCCACGTGTTCCCAAACGCCTCATCTATCATTAATTATGCCACATGATTTTACTCCTTCAGCCAAACTCTTCTCGGGATGGTGTTGGCCGAGCTGTAGTTCCCCCTCGGCGTTTGCCACGCCGTCCAAGGGGGAATGCCACGAGGTCCATGACGCGCATGGCTCATTATTAAATATTGCAAGTTAGAACGACGAAATCTCGCCATTTCATCAAACGCGCGCAGGAGCACGCTTGCAGGATCGCATCGATGCTCCTCTAGTAGACGAGGTCGCGTTTCATCAACCCAGATTCGACAGGGGATCGCATCGTCCGCGGAAATAAAAACAAAGGGGGGAAAGCCGTACGCCCGAGAGCTGAGGGAAGCTTTGATCGTCGCTCATGTTGACTGAAGGCGGACGCCATCGCACGTGTCGCCCCGGACTCAAATCGATAAGCATTGAGAGTTGTTGACTCGCGAGTCGACGAAGTCGAGTCCAGGCCAACCAGGCATTTCGTCAGCTCGTTCATGCCCCGTCTTTTCCGCCCTCTTTATCGCGGATCCGACCTGTAGCCTGAGTGTTGGCGCTAGTTTAAGTCGACCTGTCCGCCAGCCGAATTGAGCCAAGTCGCTTGACGGATATTGGTGGAGATCCTCGCTGTCGAATTAGAGTTCCAGCTTCGCATGCGACACAGCGTCGTCAAAAATATTGACGGACGGCGTAAAGAAAGGAGGCGAGGCCAGGGTCGTAATACAGGCGCCGTTCCATCCGAGTAAGCCGTTCAATGTCGCTTCTCAAGAGACCTGGTAAATGGTAAAGTTGACTGGGAATGCATTGTTGCCAAAGCCGGGCAGTTTACAGACTGGCTCTCCAGTCGGTTCGAGCTGAACTTGCCATCGTGTCTTTGTCATCGCACCGACTTCATCCCAGAGCTGTTGAAAGCTTGCTTGGTCATGTAGATATGCAGATCGACTGCTGGTAGACGAGGGACCGGGATGGTTCGTCCCGACTTGGCGGCCATATATCATCGCGTTTCTCGTCCCGGGCTTGAGAAATTCAACCAGACGCTTCCCCATGTACAGTTGTTGAACCCAATTGAAGAGGTGGAAGAAGCTGCCGGCGTGGACGAGGGTAATCTTGCCGCGTAATGTGTCCAGCTCCTTGTCCTCGGGATCCAACATGTCGCCTGCAACAAACGTCGCACCGAGCAGGTCTCGATCCTGAAAGAGGTCGTAGCCGATGTCGATAAACTTGGATTGCAGGTCTGTGCCAATTAATTGTGCGCCATCCACGCCATCAGCACGGAACTGCCGGATGACCTGTCCAACTCCGCAGCCCAGGTCGAGTAGGACATCTCTTGAGCCGCCGACGTTGAGGCGGAAGAGGACCTGCTGGTAGCGAGGGTCCTTGGGGTCGGGGATGTAGAGAAATTTCCATCGTCCAACAAAGGGGTAGCGGGATATGCACCAGGCCTTCTCGCGCTGATCATTGGGACTTGCTGTTAGTTGCCGAAAATGGGGGTGCCAAACCAGGGCAGCACTTACAACACGGCGGATGTGATCGTCGAGGTCATTGTAAGGAATTTTGCTGTATACCTCGAGAATATGTCGAGCTGGACCAATATCTTTGGGGGGATCCTCCAGATAGGTCCAGTCTCGCATCTTCATCACATCCATGCTTAATAACATTGTGTGGTTAAAGAAGGGTTGAGTTTTTGGGTGTCCCGCGTTAAGAGAGGAAGGTGTATTGCAAGACGGGAGGGCTATTTTGTCAGGGTCATTGAGACCTGAAAACCGCCGTCTGAGCTATTGAGAGATGACGACAGCACGCGAGGACGGCCATCGGACAAGGCGATGATGTAGTCTCGAGGCAAGGGGGGTTCAAAAAGAATCCAAGGGAGAGGGAAAAGACGCAGACAAAGATGGAAAGTGTGAGGGAAACGGAACTGGAACCCTGAGACAAGAAAGTGGAGGCTAACACGGGAGTTAAGAACAAAATGCTCCCTAATCCTCTTTACGTTGTAGTCTCCATGCCGTCAAAATCGACTAACAGCCCTGCTCGCCAGGCAAGGGACAAGGGTAGGGTGCCGGCGGGTAGAAGGAATGAAGCAGGAGTTGACCAAGCAGGGAGCAGTTGGAGGACACTGCTGGGAATGGCCCCAGTGAGGCCAGTCTGGACTAGGACGGGAAGATTAACTGTCGGCGGACGGGGACGACGATGAGGTGACGGGCGGCGGAGTGATTTGCAAGGCCCGCTCCTTGGATGGATGGGTCTGGAGGATCCATGACATTCACCCGCGCGCGCAAGATGCCCATGGGCCATGGGATATGGGCATGGGCATGATAGAGGCCATCCCTTTTGGCTTCTGGAAGGGCGACGTGGCTGACCGACCAGCAGACAATGACAAGGGTGCTGCCACGGCTGCAGCATTCAGGGCACCCACTCGCTGCAACCACAGTACGCTACAGCGCCCGTCGGCCAGTAGGAGCCCCCGGGGTCATGCTCGCCTCTGCAGAGACCTGCTGAAGCGTCCATGTTTCAGCGCGTGCCTGTTGTCTCCCGCCTCTCTCGGACGAACCCTTCTTCCCCATCCATCCAGCCTCTTTTCTCAGCGGCTCATCTCGACCCAGCCCGGGCAGTTTCCGATGCCAAATAAGTAGGGCGAGTCAGCGCCTCCAAGACGCGGCATCGCAGGGCCTCAGACAGAGCCTCATCATGTCCGCAGCTGCCGGCGGATCCCCCGGCCGTGTCTTACTCCGGGACGGAAAGAGACAACATCATTACTAGGAGAGCAAAAGCAAACTCTTTGGTCGTATCAGGATCACCGAACATGCCATTTATGCTTTTGCCCGGCCGATACCGTCAACCATCAACTGTCAGGAGACTTGTCTGGCCCTGCCCTCTGGTCGTCATCACTCGAGGTCACTGAGCAGAAGCAAACATGAGCTCTTTGTGAGACAAGTCCTTGGTTGCGAACTCGTTTGTCCAAGTTGTTCAGTGGGGGTCCATCTGCAAAGGCAAGGTAGGTTATTGCCCGCTAGCCTCTTCGGAACCGACGCCGAGAACTTTGTGCATGTCAGGGGTCCATCACCACCAACATCGTGCCGCCGGTACTGGGTCGCTTCATATCGACGTTGCCGGTAGGACCGAAGTCACCGATCCATCTGTCAGCTTTTTAGCCTATGTGAGATGCTATGGCTGGGCTTTGTTGGTCGAGAAACGCCAATCTCGTTGGGAAGAGCTATTGTTATCTTGCTGCGGCTCCTGTGTCGGACCCGACTTTGTTCAGGCGGTGCTTGCAAACCAAACCAACTTTGCACAAACCTGCACTTTTGTCATCAACCGCTTAGTAGGCTGCAAATGAATCCAGAGATGGCATAGGATGAACATGTAGGATTTCGAGCGGCTCTAGCGGTTAAAGGCAGGAGGCCCTAAAGAATGCGACCCCATACAAGCGAAAGGTTATTCGGGGAGTTGAGCGATTCCCCCGGCTCTTGGGTCAAGAATTGCTGGGAACGGCATTGGCTACCTATCCAGCTTGGTGCAGGAACAAGGTTGCAAGGTTGGCTGGCTGTGGCTGTCCATCCTGTCCAAGGGGTTCATGGTCAAAACCGGCCTGGCGCACCTCATGAGCCCCTGAGTATTGAATATGAGTAAACTTGGTTGTCATTGCCTGGAGTCAAGTGTTACTCATTTCTTTCTAGGATCTCTTTCTAGAACATGCCGGGAGTCATCACAAGACGGCTGGTCATTGCGATTTGTCGGATCATAATTACCTAAGAGTCGGTGGATCTAAAGCCCAAGCTTCAATTGTTCCTTTGGCATAACGTTGCAACGTGTGAGGAAACAATCTGCGTGGGGCATTGCGGCGAGATATTCTTTCTAAATACTCGACCAAGCAGTTGATCTGAGTGAGTCTTTGAGATATTCTGATGCTCCGTTTGAAGATGGTGCTTGTAAAGTTGTAAAGTGAACAATGGGATGGATCCATTCATGCTGGTAGTCAATACCTGCAAGGAGGATTTGGCGAGAGAGCCCACCCACTGTGATTCACATCGGTAGAATCAGTTGAACAAACACCGGCCATGTTGAGGGACAAGAGATCACATGCCAACATCAAGAGAGTGACTTGCGTTTTCTATAGTATGTGAGTTTGCTCAATCTTTTGGCACGGATTCAGTATCAAGACAGCCACTTCTAGGCACGAGGGCAGCTCCCGTCCCAGGTTCACGTCCAGCCATGATGACTAAGCACACCACCTGCCGCTCTGACACTCCACCCACTCTTCGCTGCCTGCCGAGCATTCCCCGCCGCCTCCGAAAAATTCTTCCTTCTCCGTGATCTCGTCAAAACACCCACACAGCCCGCCGACGCTCCCAAGTCATCGGGGCCGAGTTCTTCCTCTTCCGTCGAGGCGTTGCCGTCGCATCGCATTTATCCTGCTCCGATCCCCAAAAGAGAGAGTCGTGTAAGTCGCCATGACCAAGATGTAGCCCTTTGCATGTCCACCGCACGAACGAACGGGCGCATTGCCGTCGTCGTCGCGTCCACGTTGCACTCTTGCCTACCGTGCTTTCCCTCGTTCACCATCACGCATATTTCGTCATCATCGCGTTGAGCCACTGCTAACAATGGCTTCGTCCAGTGACATCGTTGCGCGTCGCGAAGGGTCTAGCTGGGTCGCGGTCATATCGCGTCTCACCTGTCTTGAGGGTTGAGCTCAACCACCATCAACCGCCACTGCGCATCTGGTGTGCGCCAAGTGACGATCGTTCTCTCTCTGTGAATAGCGCGTTTGTCCGATTCTGTCAACTGCATCTTTAAAAGTCCACAACCATGAGCACGAGTCGAGACACCGAGGCGGAGGATGCCAACATAACATACCCTTCGCCTGGAGCCGAAGCCATGGAGGCCGGTCCCTTTTACAACACCGGAGGTCGAGAGGGCGCACAGGATCACCAAGAACACCATGAGCATCATGAGGCTCATCACGAGCAGCACCATGAGCAGCCAGAGCATCATGTCCCTGACCAAGTGCAGCATGTGCCGGTCCCCGAGCATGACCAGGGCGAACTGCCTCCGCCAGAGCCCGAGACCTCTCAGCAGCACATCTCTCGTCCCGCTAATCTTGAGGAGCTGCAGCTGGCCGCCCAGTTGGGCCAGGGCCTGGCTGGGACCTCCATGATGCCCACCACAGACCCCAACATGAATGTTGAAGACCCCAACCTGCGGAGCATCATGCCTCATCCCGAGCCTGACCAGCAACAAACTCCGTCTTATGTTCAAGACACTCCCACTACCGACCCGATGGTGCCACATGCCATGCCCGTCCCAGTTGGCCCGCCCATGCCTCCCCAGTATCCCATCGACAACAGCATCCCACCTCGCAAGCGGTCCAAGGTGTCAAGAGCATGTGATGAGTGCCGACGCAAGAAGATTAAGTGTGATGCTCAGTCAGATACTGGAGAAGCCCCCTGCTCTAGCTGTGCCCGATCTTCCATCAGATGCTTGTTCAGTCGTGTGCCTCAGAAACGAGGTCCAAGCAAAGGGTATATCATGCCGCACACCCTGTTCATATGTTTAACTGACATCGCCCTAGATATATCAAGGAACTGGCGGATCGCATTCACAGCATCGAGAACAAGCTCGAGTCAGAAGGTGCACTGAGCCAAGACGATATTGATAGGCTCTTCGTCTCGGACAGGCCACGCCAAAGTCAAGGAGAGGATTCCAACCGTAAGCGGCCTTTCTCGAGTATCTCGACAAACGACTTTGCCACGCCTTCACGCCAAACACCATGGGGTTCGGAACACCGGATCCAGCCGTCCCCTGGGACATCGGAGGGATACGCTCCTTACAGCACGAGCTCGTTGGCTCCCCAGCCTACCGCCATCAAGACGGATGAAACACCGTCTAAGCCCCCCATGGCTGCCATGGACATCACCATGTCTGATACTGGTGAAGTGACTGATGTCGATGAGGGCATGTTGCACAGGTAAGCAGCCTTGTGACTGACTTTGACTTGGACTCTAGAACTAACAGCCTCATAGCTACCTGTCGAGTGTTCAACCAGTCTATCCGATACTGCCAAGCAACAAGAGCCGGCTGCAAGCTCTCCTCGCGCAATGCCCGTCATCTGTTCAGACGGCATTTGTTAACGCTCTTCCTGCTGTGACGTCGTCTGGCGGTGATACAAAATTGGCGAGTGCTCTCCTCAATGAGTGGGAGAGCAATGAGGCGTCGCACACGCAGGCCACTAACATTGTCCATGCCCAAGCGCTGTTGTTGCTCATCATTGATGCTGACTGGCGATCATCCCCAACTCTTCCATTCCTGCTGGCTCGAGCCGTTGCGCTGGCCAATTCGATGAAGCTCTGGAGATATACCCCCATGGAGTCGGCCTCAGAACCAGACTCTGATGATCAGCTGTGTGTGCGGATATGGTGGTCCTTGATCCTTATGGATCGCTGGTATGCGGCAGGCACAGGAAAGCCGGCGCAAATACCCGACAGTAGTGTTGTTGCGCCCCCTGGTCTCGAGAACATGCTTGGAGAAGTGTGCTTCTACCTTGTCCGTAAGTTACAACAACTGTTGTCTTATTGCGTGTCTTTGAATGCTAACATCTCCATCAGGACTGTCGAAACTGCTCAACCGTGTCTCACATGTTGTATCAACACTTCAACCTGGAGCATCAACAACAGAGGAGCCGATGGCGGCAATTCTGGTGGACTACATCGAGAACTACAGGGAAGACTTGCCAGCGCATATTGAGCCTGCCTCGCACCCCATGGTTCACCTCGCGTACTGGCACTGCAAGCTCCTCGTAACTCTGTTGCGGCCCGGAGCGACCCCTGCAGAGACGATGTGGCCTACCAAGGAGCT